ACCTCATGAATGTGCAAGGGAGATGTTTATGGCAGCATCTTTGTTCCTGTATTGCAGTAAAGAGAATGAATTCATCACATTGCCAGCCTGTAACCTGACTAAATCAACACCCTTTGCAGTGCATAGGACTTCCACATAAAGGAACCCTGAACTTTAACCACCAAACTGTAGGACCTGTATCTTCTGAAATACTGCTGATGTGATAAAATGTTGACATTTAGAAAATGTGCTCTAACTGAACTCTGGTTCTTAATGATTTCATTTTAAAAGTTATAAATATAAACCCACTGGGCTGAAGGCATATAGAATGTTGTTGGTGAAGTTAGCCCCCATGAAAGCAAAAGGTGCTTTCAAATTTGCAGTGAAATTAATAGTAATTTTATTTCTCTTCAAGGTTTTAAGCTTTTTCCTAATAGGTGCTGTTTGAGATAAAAATTGCATTAGTGGCCCAAAACAACTCTGTCATTTTCATCAAAATAATTTCTGGATGTACATCTGTATATGTATATGAGTGTTTATATTTTTTAGAACCAGATTATTTTAGTTTCAACATGTGAGAAAATCCCAATTTATGGCAAGACTTTGTATTGTGACAGGCTAAAAAATGTCCTCTTCTCTCCTTCATTCCCCCACTAAAAAACCCATTTTTCTTCTGAACATGACAGGAACATTATCGCAACAGTGGGCCACCTTTCTTGCTATTCGGACATTTTTTATTCCCTCAAATGTTTCAGGATTTGCATTGTTTCCCTTTGACTTTTGAGACTGCACATGCTCTCTCTTTCCCTATGCCTATTGCGTTAAAAGTGTTTTTTATTCCCACTACGTCAATTTCATTACTTTCCAATATACTGCAGTATCTGGCTTTGGTAACTCACTCTTCCAAAATCAGCAATGACTTCTTCCTGGCTACTTGGCAAGGGTGAAAATTTTCAGTGCAACTTAATCTTCTAAATTAAATCTGCTTGATTTATTTATTTTTAAGGCTTTTGTCTGCTGCTTCATCCTTTTTGATTTGTCTGCTGCTTTGTCAGCGTGTGAACCATTAGCACCTGACTCCCCCTAAGATTTAAGAATTTTCTCATTCTTATGTTACCTCAGTGGTCTTCCAGTGGTTCCTGTGATACTTCTTTGTCATTGTATTTTATGATTTCTTCTTGTCTATTGAGAGTTTAGCATATTCAAAGTGATATATAAATAATCATGTTTGGGGCAGGGAGCAGTAATAAAGGAAAAAAAAATGTAATGTGTAATAGAAGAAAAGATACTGACTACAGGAATCTGAATATGGGTATATGCAATGAGATGAGATAAGGAGCAAAATCCAATTTACATGGTTAGAAATTAGTTCTAAGGACAATTAAAAGCTTTTAAATTTTTATCATATCTGCTTGCAAGTTTAACTGTCTTTAATAAATGCAGTCTAAACATATCACTGAGGTTAATTTATCATAACATTCTGTGAGCATTTAATAAGAATCACAGAATGGTTTGGGTTGGAAGGGACCTCAAAGACCATACAGTTCCACCCCCCTCCCACCAGCTCAGGTTGCCCAAAGCCCCATCCAGCCTGGCCTTGAGCACCTCCAGGGATGGGGCATCCACAGCTTCCCTGGGCAGCCTGTGACAGGGCCTCACCACCCTCTGAATGAAGAATTTCTTCCTCATATCTAATCTAAATCTACCCTCTTGTAGTTTAAGGTCATTACCCCTTGTCCTCTGATCATCTTCATGACCCTCCTCTGGACTTGCTCTAATAGGTCCATGTCCTTCTTGTGCTGGGGGCCCCAGAACTGAATTCAGTGCTCCAGGTGGGGTCTCACAAGAGCAGAGCAGAGGGGGACAATCACCTCCCTCACTCTTCTGGCCATGCTGTTTTGGTGCAGCCCAGGATACGGTTGGCTTTTTGGGCTACAAGTGCACATTGCTGGCTCACAACGAGCTTCTCATCAACCAACGCCCGCAGGTCCTCAGGGCTGCTCTCAATCCGTTCTCTGCCCAGACTTTATTTGGGCTTGGGATTGTCCTGACCCAGATGAAGCACCTTGCACCTGGCCTTGTTGAACTTCATGAGGCTCACACAGAAAGCCTACCTTTTGTGTAAACGCAGATAAGATGGTCAAGGAAATTATTCTCAGTTTAGGACAACCAAGAACAGCTATACTGAGATATTGTAAAGCTCATAAATGTATGTTGAATTGGAGTCATATAGCAGCAGTAGGAGATATTCATGAAAGGAGTTTAGGACATAGAACATGTATAGTGATTCTTCCTCTTGCATAATTTAATAATATTCGGTAGCTCTTGGACTTTAAGAACTTCCTAAGCTGAAGGTTTGGGATACTGTTTTACAGGATATGATGCATCTATTCTTGATGTTTGATAATTAGTTCCTTGGTTCCCTGAGTTCTTATGTTACACGAAATATCTAATAATACATTTTCTCCATGATTTTGTAGAGTCTGAAATGGATGAAAACCTAAACGGACTGCTTAGATTCTTTCTCTCTCTCTCCTCCCCCTTGGTATTGTCAGTATTTTTGCATATAATGCATTTTGTCTTCTTTCATGTCTCAGATTCCTTCTTGAAGTTGTTAGAAATGTAATTTAAAGGGAATACGTAGATTAATCATCAAGTTATATAGACGCTATATATTTACAGACATGTATCTTCCAAATTTCCACTTTATTTTTATAGCACTGATAAGTAATCCTACATTTGTGCAATCATCAGTATATAATTTAACTCTTAGGCTGCTGAAATACTCTCAACAGATAACTAATAAGAACTTGGGATATAGGAATTTCGGGTATGTTTGTATGCATTAGCTAGCAATGTTTGGTGACATGATTTGTTTGCCCCTACATTTGTGTGTAGGATATTTAGGGATGCCCTGGGTGTCCTACTTGCCTTCTTCATAGCTACTTCTCTAGGTGGTATGGTCCTTTATTGTGTCTACCAGCCCTGTGCTGATGCCTTGGATTACCAAAGGGCATCTCAGCTGGCACTAGATAATTCAGCATAAGTAACAACCCAAGGTCTTGATTTTGGGAGGGGAGAGCAAGAGAACATTCAGGGGATTTCTGTGGTTGGTAATATTAAAGAAATGAGTAATGAAAATAAATGTTACATTTATCAAGATCAAGATTTCCAAGAGTCTTCAGCAGTAAATGCAGCAGTTGTTGCTTAGTGGCATTTCACAGCACCTGGTTACAGGTTAGAATCAGTAATGAGCAGGGAGGAAGGACAGACGTGAAGTGCAGGATTTTGGGTGCACTTTGCCCTTACTTAATCCATGTTATAATGTCATGCTAGCTAATAGGAAATAATCTTGTTGGGTGTTTTTGTGCAAATAAGATTTCTGAGTCTACTGAAACCTGGAAATTCCTGCAGAATGCTGATTGTTGTTGGAGCCAGGGTTATATTATGATTTAATGGCTTTTCTGGGCTTCATTTGATGACCTGGCCTAGAAAAACATTTTGAAGTAATAAAGCGTCTGTTTGGCTCCAAACTAATGAGAGAAGCATTGCTCTTTGCATTAACTGTTCTTTAGGAAGAGTCGTGGATAGCTACTAATAAACCTTATTAAAAAGCTTAAGCATGATTGAGGGAAATAGAAAACAGAGAAACTATTCACTTCCATGTGAAGTGCGTATATCAAAAAAAAAAAAAAAAAAGGCAAGCCCAAAGGGTTTTTGCCTCTCCTCCATGTGACTTGCAGCTTGCTGCACTTCAGTTACGTTGCCTCTGAGATATGTTAAAGTGCAGCTCAGTTTAATGAAGAAGTGGGTAGGACAAATCAAGGCTAGAGACTATTTACAGCAGAGACTGGGTAAGTAAATGCAGATGTAGATAAGTGCTTGCTAATATTGTGCAAATGTTTTAATATCTAGCCTATAGCATTTAAAAATATTCAGAGCTGGTGTTTTTTGGTGGTCCTTTCTTGGTCCTTTCTTTGTTTTATTTAAGCAATAAGCAGGTGTGGGTGGTACATGCAATGCAATGGATTTATATATGAGTGGTAGAGATTTTATTTCATTTTTTTCAGACTTCCTCCAAGAAAATAACACAAATAACTTCCCTTTAATTTCTTGTAGTTATTTTGTTTTAAATCCTTTGCTGTGAAAGTAACTGCTTCATCTATTTTAGTGCATTGCTCAAAATAATTTCAGTGGGAGTTAGCTGATAGTTTCTGGTGCTTTACTGTTATTTTAATTATTTTTCTACTAGTGAGGGAAAGGGGGAAACAGCTTCTACTCTCTGAACCTCCTAGGTAAAGCATTTTCAGATTTCTAGAATCTAAATCCAGACCACTGAGAACTCCCTAGCATCAACTTGCTTCAGGAATTCATTCAACTGCTCTAGTAGGACTGTAGGATTTGATTTCAGCTGTTGTAAGCTTTTGTTTTCCATGTCTTCCTGTAAAGATTTGTATGTGTTCCTAGACTAAGACCTTATACAGAAAGTTCGGGTTTAAATGTATATATGTGTAAAACTCTGTAAATGTAATGTCAATATATAAGTTAGAGAAATATGGTGAAAGCTCGTGTTATTGTTTTTAAGACTTCGAGGTTTTTGTTTGTTTGTTTTTTGTCTGTAGTAATCTGAATGGATCTTGCAGTTGCTATAATGCTGTTATGAACTAGGATTGCAATCTTAGCAAATTAGTAATTTCTAGGACATTTCTTTTACTTGTTTCAGTGCTTTTTGCTTGAGTATTTAAGCCTTAGTGCATCAACAAAGAGCCACGAAGGAGGCATAATCAATTTACATTGTAAAAAACTGTATTGAAGCCCAATTTGAATCTTGGGAACTGCAGAAGGAAAAGCAAACTTTTTCATTGTTGGTCGTGTATTAAAGAAAATGTTACTTTTAAGCATTGAATAAGTTGTGGTCTAGGATGTTTCTTCCTTGTGCTTCATCTCACAGTTTACATTAAGTACTGTACTCTATCATGAGCTTTAGTATTTGGAATCATCAGAGTGCAAATCTTTTCCAGATAATCACTCCATTCAGGAGGCTAATATTGTGTGCTGAGAACAGAAAAGAAATGGAGGACTGGATAAGCTCTTTGAAGTCCGTACAGTCCAGGGAACACTATGAGGTAAGTTGATAACCCTGTTGGTGCAACCTGTTCTAGCTCAAACAGATCAAGCTACAGGACACAGAACTAGAGCCGTCCACCCTTTTTAGTGTGAAAAGTGTATTTGATACCAGAAGGAAGCTTCATGTTAAGAGCTTTGCTAGCAGAATGAAGGCTTTTTATGATACTTTTGTTTAGTAGCTTGGAGGGAAAGCAAGCTGAGTATCCTTTTAAAAATGCTTTTCATGAACATTGCACTGTCCCCTGTAATGTGGAACCATAGGTAATTTCAGTCACCGTAGCTGTGTTCTGTACTTGCAAATTTGTCTTAACTTCTCCTTTACTAGACCGCACAGTTTAATGTGGAACATTTCTCAGGGATGCATAACTGGTACGCCTGCTCCCATGCCCGACCTACCTTCTGTAACGTGTGTAGAGAGAGCCTCTCTGGAGTCACTTCCCATGGCCTGTCTTGTGAAGGTAAAATAAACGCTTTCTTCCCCCTGTTTATAATGCCATGTATAAATTACTGACAGTTTTAGGCAAGTAATGATTCTGAAAATAATGGGTAAGGAAAAAAGCCTGAAGGGAGAAATCTGTTCACGTGAGTGGCTTTCTCTTGGAGAGAGTGAGTGCTAATGATACGGCTCGCCCTCTTCGTGCTCTGGGTGCCTTTTTCTAACTCAGTTCAGTAAAAATGTTTCATTCTGAGGCAGCTACCCGTTTGGAATGTGCTTGCCTGAGTGGAGGGCTTGCAAGGATTTCTTTGATATGTACATGAAAAATGCACATGCATAACAAAATAGCCTTACGTGTTTGCAGAATCGGCATTCCACAGAAAAATAGAAGTCATACTGATAGTTTCTCTCCCAAGTATATAAAGATTATTAACACTTTGTTCCATGCTGCGGAGAGTTTTCTTGCTTTAAAGATTCTGTCATTCATTGAAGGAATGGGGATTTAAATGCCTTTGCATTTGGATGTTAAAACAGATGAAATCCATCAGAAACAAAAAGGAGACACAGGTAAAACTTCAGCATTTAGCTTATCTAGAGAAATGATCTTTTGCAAATAAATATTTGTGATAAATCTGAAGAAGTTTATATATTTTCTAGTGTGAGTTCTGTAAAAAAGCAGTGACAAGCCTGCTTGTGTTAGAATAAAGAAGAAAAATGTTATTGTGACCTTATGATATATAAGAAATTTAGAGACAAGTGTCACTTTATTGCTTAAGTATGAAATATTTAATTACAAAATAGCTAACTGTCCAGATAAGAGTTACTTTCACTGACACCATTCAAGACTTCAGTTCTGGATACGTTATCCGACTGCAAATGCATTTCTCTTATCAATGCTGTTATAATACTGAAAGTCTGTGTATGATAATGTGTATTCAAGAAGTCCTGCAAAAGAGGCATTAACTGACCATCCTGTATTGCCCTTGTTTAAAAGTAACTAACAGTACATTTGTTAAGGAACAGGGCAAACCCATTTCATAGAAATTAAGGTAGCCTATTTACATCCAACTTCCCTGGTGTATGTTTTCCACTGTGTATAAGTGACTTGGACATGGTATTTTCAATGCCTGGTACTCGCAGATGGAAGTGCCGTGTGCTTGACTAAAATGCAGTTGTATTGCATCTATGTGCAAATACACTTATATTTGGTCAGGCAAAGGAGAGGAAAAGCTCTTTTCCTTCTAGGTATGTATGGTTGCAGTGCTTCTAAGTACGGTTTTTATTTCCAAGGAGTTGGTGTTAAATTTACGTGAAGGTACTTTCCTTAATTTCCAGATTTGAACTTTGTCAACTTCCTGCATAATTTATTACAAACTAATGCTACTTTTATCCACATTTCTGGTGCCAATTGATCTTTCACCATTTTATTTTTTTTTACAAATGACTATTAATGGTAGACTGGATTAGCTTCCTCTGTCTCGGTTTCATAAACATGTATGATCTAGATTGGTTTAAATGTAGATATAATATTCATTTACCTGTAAAGAATTTTACTTCCTCTTACTCTTTAGCTACTAGTTTATATGTTTTTTTTTTCCCTCATTATTATTTTTTTTTTTTTAAATAAAAGCACTTCAATTGTGCATCTAATCTAAACCAGTTGCAGGTTGACTTTTGTACTGAAATACTCTTACTTTGTCCCCCATTCTATAAAAAGCCATGGTAATCATCCTTAATATCTTCATGTAAAAAGTGTACATTGTTTGATACAAGTTCTTTCTTTGAAATTCTGATGTGACTGGGCTCGTATTTACTTGCTTCTGTCATCTGCACTTCTAACGCATTTTACCATCTATTTTTTGACTTATCCCGAGTTAGCAATGTATACTGTTTAAAGAGATGATGTAGTGTAGGTATGAAGTCTTCACATTCCCCAGACATGTTCTGTTCTACATTTTCTCACTGCAGCTTTAAAAAAAATGTTTAAATATTCATGCTTGACATCTGAAGCCTTCGGTGCTGCTTTACTCAGGGAATCCATTTATATCTATACTAAATTCAATTATTTGTGTGGTCGTTGATCCCAAGCTTCTCTATTATCTCATGTATTAAGAAGCATGAGAGGCTTCTTCTCAGGAGATATTGGAATTCTTCCTCCTTTCAGTGGTTTGGGTTACTGGCACACCAAGTTATCTTCAAAGTAGCTTAGAGCCTTTGTACTCTTTGTGGTCTGATTCTGGACTGCTAGCTGTAGGCAAAAATAAAAATAAATCCCTTTGCTGATATTCTGCAGCTCACAATATTTTAGAAGATTACTCCTGTAATATTTTATTCTCTTAGACCTGCTGGTCTCCAATAGTACTACAGAATTGTTTTTTTAGCCTCATTATTAGCCTCATTTATTTTGGGACTAAGCTGGGTGCCTTTTTTGGGGGGCCTCTTCTCTGCCAGTAACCTTTGGCAAAGATTGACCAAATTAAATGCAAGCACCCTGAGGATACTTCTGCAAGCTTTGTGAAAGCTAGTGTTGGAAAAGGGGGCATGTTAATACCTTTACTAGGGGAACAACTATAGTGTGAACTTGCATCTCTTTAGAAGTCAAAGAATTGATATGAAATGTCAAAATGAAGGCATAAATATATATCAAACCATGCTGCATTCTTTTTACTGCTCAAAAAGGAGTTGACTTTTAAAAAAGTTAATTGTATGCAATTGTACAGTGCTATTCCTCCCACTGGTTTCTTCTTCTGTGTCTTCTCAAAAGATAATGTACTTTTAAGTGGTTTTTGTGTGTGGTATTGATAAACGAAGATTTTCCTCTAGCTAACTCTAAAGGAATGATCTCTTCTACATTCATCCACAATCTTTAGTAGGACAGCGAAATTACATATTTTTATCTTGCTTTGGAAATTGTCACAAGCAACTGAATAAAGTAAGGCTTTTGTTCTTTATGCTTCCTCAGATATTTCTCTTACTCAGAATTTAGCTTGCTATATGCTCAGGAATCAGCCTAAGAGGTTGTCAGGAAATATGGGGATATATTGAATATTCAGACAGAGAATCCTAAAGATCTACAGATCACTATCTACAGAAGCTCTTTCAAAGCTCTTTAGCCTCAATTTCTCTGTATTAATACTGTATTTCTATCCAAGTCATTGACAGTGAATGCAGCCTTTTTGATTATTCTCAAAGATGTATTTCTCTATGTTGTGTTTTCGTTATCATGACTGAGTCTTGATGACTGAGTATTCCTAATAAGATGGAAATTGTGGTTTAAATGAGATGCTTTCTACTGTGATGAATTGCACAGACAAAACAATGTCGAAAGAACAGTTTAGGATCATAAAGTCAAGCAATAAGGAAATAGTAGGATTAAATTGTCTCAGCAAATGCACTTTGTGCACTTGATCTTTTTTCATTACAACTGCTTTTTTTTGCACACAAAACTCTCATCTTCTTAACCATTGCTTAGGGCATTGCACATATACTGGTTGGGAAGTCATTGTCTCCAGGATTTTTGCCACATTTTCTTCAAAGACTGTGGAATGAATAGTTAGTGAAGCCACCTGGAAGAGAAAAGATGTTATTAGTTAAAGAATTAGACTATAATAGAAAACTGTATTCTGTGACTTTGTACACAAAGGGGTACACACCCCTTTGCAATCCTGGGAAAATCACTTAACTGGTATTTTTGATCAAATCCATAGTTACTCGTTTGTTTTCTGGGCACCTACATTGATAATCTGGGCCTGTATCACAGAAGTGTTGAGTGTTTTTAACTGCAGAAATCAATTAAAGCTGCATTTTGAAGAGACCGATACAAAATATATAGTATTGAAAAAGCAGGTCTTTGTTGCCTTTTTGATACCCCAAATTAGTGGACAACATTGTCCTTTATCTCTGTATGCTTCACTTACCCCTTTGTTAAAATGGGTATTAAATCAAACCCATATTTGCCCAGTACAGAGAAAACAAAGGTGCATTTTTTCAAAAATTTTCATGCTGAATACAATAATTAAAAAAAAAAAAAAAAGACCAGGAAGAAATGAATATTTGTGTCTAAAAAGCAGTATTTTGCTAGCTTTTGGTAAATGAGGCAAATACCTGTTGAATATTACTATGAATCAGAGTATGGCACAGGTGCATACTTATCAAGAACCATCCATTCATGAGGCAATGAGGGTCCTCTTCTCAAAAAGAGTATTATCAAGTAACTGAAGATTTCACACATGCATATGGAAACTAAATTAAAGTTGCATGACTAACTTGATTTTATAGTCCTTATCTTTGTAATGCAAGTATTTTTAGCACTTTGAAGTATAAATTAACTTAGTTACTGGAATGAAAATACTAAAAGCTACCAAGAAACTACTGAATTTTATCCTATAAAACATAGGCGTAGACTGCAAATTGGAGTGAAGTTAGGTTGTTTTCATTCAAGTCACTCCATTTTCACTGTGGTTTGTCAATCCTGTGTGTGATAGTATTCTTGGAAACAAAATACCAGGTTTCTTGGAATACCCCAAGACAAATCCTTCTGTCTGGACAATGTAAACTCAGGGGTCATCAGATCAATTTCAAAACTTTGGATTTGGCCTTTGAAGTTGGAAAAGAACAGCCTGAGTGACTTGTTCTTTGAAGAATACAGAAGACAGTACTCAAAAATTAGGTGTTAGAGTGGTAAGGTTGGCGGGACACTCAATGTCTTTTTCCCAATGTAGTTGTATTGATGGGTGGATAGAATGAAAGGCCTTTGAGGCAGAAGTATTTTATAGCAAAGATCTATGTTTTGAATGCAAGAGCTTATTTGATGACATTCAACAATGTTGACATTTCTTCATTACAGATAATAATAGCTGCAGATTCAATCACTCTCTGACAGCAGATGTTGGTGTAACTGTGACAACTGTTTGCTAATTAAGTCATTCTGTTGGTTGGCTTTCGGAGACATCAACTTTATATTACAGCTAGAAACATTTACACAGGAAATTAAAATTTAAAATAATGTTCTACAAATAGTCTAGATTTGGATTAGCTGTTGGTTGTTTTTTTTTTTTTTTTTTTTCTTTTCTTATAATTTAAATTTTATTGGCAAAGCAGTGGCTTAGCAACATCACATATTTCCAAAAGATTTCAGATATAAGACAAATTTGTGAATGGAATCCAGTATCATCTGAGACAAAAGACATTAGGGGCTAGTGGTAATTAAGGTAGACATTTGACTTAAAATTTCCTTTATACCCCTCTTTTCTGTTTCACTGTGTGTTTTGATGGAAAAATTCATTTGTGTCTTTAGACTGTTGTTTCTAGTAATGTTTGCTCAATGCTCAAAATAATTTGAATTGTTGTTAGATGATACTGGGACTGCAGGGGGTGACTTACAGAAAGTCTGTTTTGAGATTTGCTAAATTATATTGTGCCCACAAAGCGAACTTTAGCTGTCTCTTGACAGAATATTGACCATAACGTGGCTTGCTGCAGGTCTTCACATCCTTTTGGTGGCTGAGAGGGCAGAAGGTAAATACGGGGCACTGAGGCCTATTTGAAGGGTAGCTCAAGAAGATTTTAAAATTCTGTTATTTTTGCATGCCTTAGTCATTTGGATTTTCCTACTGCCCTTCATCCCTGATGTGTTCTATTTTGATCTGCACAGCAAAGACAAATGCATATCATTTGTGAGTTCAAGGCTGAGTTTGATGGCATCTCTTCTCCAAAACATTCAAGTGGCAAAACTGCTAAAGGCCCAACACATTTGAAAATGTAGCTTCTGTTTCTATGCTTCTCTGACAGCTGAGTTTAGACATGTGGAACCAGCTTGCATTGGCAAACTCATGACAATATGATGCTGAGCTATTTTGAAAATGTGAGCCTATCCCGTTAGTTGAGGAAAATGAGATACTTGCACACTTTAAGTCTGTGAGCACTGCTTTTTAAAATGACCAGGGGAGTTGCTGTAAAGCAGCAATACTCCTTCTTCTGTTTCCTTTTCTTCCTTTGAACTAAACGCATACTGTCACACATCTCCCAGAATACAGATAATGGCTGTCAAATGTTGCTTCCATAGTTTCTGTTCACTTTTTAAATTGATCTGGCAATGGATCAGTGGAATTAAAATGAGAAATTTATGATTCACAAGACCTTTTGTACCATGGCTTAATGTTTTTAATGGTAGACAAGTGATGGGCCAAACCTTTTGATAGTTTCCTGTCAAATATTTGTTAGGAAAAAAAGACTACCACTTCTGGTCTGCTGGCTAGTTCTCATAAACCTTTAATGATCTTTGCCAAAATAATTTATATAATGCATTACAAATAGAATGATCTCATGCACTTCCAATAACAGAAGTACCCACAGTTGTGTGCGTCAGTCTGCTTGGTGTAGAGTGATATAATTAAATAGTGATACTAATTAAATTGAACAAAATACAAATAGTTATTAGATTGTCTGCCTGTATTAGACGTCTGAGCTGATTATTACCATTAGTGCATTTTTCATAAATAATCCTGTAAGAAGTCAGGCTCTTCCTCACTTACTGTAACCTCTTGGAAAGTACTGTAACCACTAGTTGCCTGAATAAATAGATCATCACCTAATCCTTCACTTTCTCAGCATCTGGGAAAACCAGCATAGTACAGTGTGTAAAAGGAATCAGGATACTTTAACCAAAGAAGCAGAGCTCCTGAAGCAAAACTCATCTCTAAGACACTCTCCTGCTACATCCTGTAAATTTAAACCAGATATCTGAGTTGTGTCACTCTAGGAATAGAAAATGCAAAAGCAGAAAGGCATATTAGAGGTATATTATACATTGCATTGCACCTGAAATATGGGGACTGATGTGAATCTGAGGACACAGTTAAGATGGGCTATAGCTAAGCAAACAAAAAAGGGTATTTCTCAGCTGCTGAATTTTCTAACCATTTTTCTAGCAGATGCTCTTCTTAGCCTGGCTAATTACTCAGCTGTAAGGTTGCAGAGATATCGAAGCCCTGAAGGTCTGCAAATGTTGAACTCTTTCAAAGGGTGTATGAAAAACTGCAAAGGCTGCATACAGGATCTGTTGCCCCTAAATCCAGTTTAGTGATTGTAAACTGGAGTGATTATAAAGTGAATTTTCTTTTAGTTAGTTTGTGTGCAACACTAAGTAACGTGTGCTTGGCTGTTTTATGGAATATATTTATTTTTCTAAGATATGTATCACTGAAATACTACAAATAACATAGTATACATGTTTGTGTGTGTATTACAGTGTGTAAGTTTAAAGCACATAAAAGATGTGCTGTCAGAGCAACAAATAACTGCAAATGGACTACATTAGCCTCCATTGGAAAAGATATCATTGAAGATGAAGATGGTGTAAGTACTACTGTTATTTACAGTACTTTCCAACAGCTGTTTCTTCTTAATGGAAAAAAATGGCTAAGCATAGAAATGTTGTCATGAGACCCAGTAAAGTTAATGGTATGTATTCCTGAATGCTTTTCAAAATTTAACATGGTATTTAAAGCAAAAAAGTTATATTTCTGTCTTACAAGTTTAGTGTCTGTGGACTCTCAATTGTCCCTGTGGTACAAGATTTTAAAGACCCCATGCTATGAAACTCTGAAGCTGGAGAACTGCTTCGAGAATTTCTAATTGCTCTTATGCAAAGGTGGTATTTTATGCCATTACTGGTCTCTTTTGACAGTCTGTTTTGTGTCCTCCTTATTGATAGCTATTCTCTATAAATTATAATGGTGAGTGCACTGAGAAAAGCTTTGTACTCTGTTTAGGGACTGCTTACAGAGATGTGACATACCAGTTGTAGATGACTGAGGTGGTAAATAAAGCCACAGATATACTCTGCTGTCCTGCCCATTCTGAGTTTTAGTTATTTTGATTGGTTTGTGCTAAGTACTCAGCATTAAGTGAATGGGTACTTATTTATTTTAGGGAGTCTCTAGATTTAACTGTTTGTTTTGTGGTTAGTTACTACTGCAGTGTCATGAATAGCTGAGTGCGATGTCTATCCCTTCTTCAGATGTCACATTTTCTGCCTAGCATGTGAACAGCACCATAGGCTACCTTGACAGCAGTTGCCTTGCAAGAATTATTGTCACTAATGCTGGTTTGCTGTACCTGCTTTTTTGATGAAAGGGAAGAGCTATGGGAAGTAGCTAAAATCCACCTGTAATTGAGACACAAAAGCCTGCAATTTCTATTTCTGAGTATTTAACTTTTGTGACTACTTCTTCACAGATAGCTATGCCTCACCAGTGGTTAGAGGGTAATTTGCCTGTCAGTGCCAAATGTGCAGTCTGCGACAAGACCTGTGGCAGTGTTTTACGCCTGCAAGATTGGAAGTGCCTTTGGTGTAAAGCTATGGTAGGTGCAATGAACCCACATCCAAGTGCCTAAGATTCTGCCAGCTTTATACCTTGCCATTTTTTTTCTTTTTCATTTCATAACCTTGCTTTTGGATTAAGAAGGAGTGGGCAGCTTGTGCAAACTCAGGTCCCTCTAACGTTCATCGTTCCTCATGACTGTCGCACTTGCTTTGTTTAATTTTTAATACACCCACAGATGCAGCTTTTCTTTAAAAGGTGTTGACATCCAAAGTGGTTTCTCTGTCTTCTCCTAACTGATAACTGAAGGTTCTGCTGCCTGTTCTATATGCTTGATAATCATATGTTAACTTTCACGTCTCTTTTATAAGGGATAATTTGCATTCATCTTTAAAAATATTACTGCAGGACTCGTGAAGTTCTCTTCTTCAGTATGGTCTGTAGGTTGCTCATTGAAATTCTGTAATGTACAGTTGCTCTTTCCCCAAAATATATTTTATTCTTTATTTTTTTTAGCTCATCTAAAAAGAATGCAAGAGTATATGTTAGCATATATATGCTAGAGTACAGAAGTGGAAAGCCAGCAGACTTTTTATTGTTGAGGCTTTTGGCATATAAGTGTCTAAATCTGTGTGTAGGCAATGGAAAGTTATTGACATCTCCCGAGATTAATTTCAAATCCAGGTGATTTGAAATGTAGATGAAGTGCAGCACCCTCTGCATGTGTCTGGTTTTGTAGTAACTATGGAAGAGGCCAATACAACACACAATTTATGGGACACCAGCTATACCTCTAGCTGGTTTGTCTAGCTTGATATCTATGCTAGCTTTCCTGCAATAGATCTTCCAGAATATCCAGGTGGACTGGGCAAATATAGAGCTGTAGCTTTGCATGTGTACAGGGTGCCTTCTCCCCTCAGCACAGATGCTGGCTGCTGGGAATTTGGTCCTACCTTGCTAGGGGATGGTGGTAAGTGGTCCTTTTGAAAGGACAATTCACACCTGCTATAGGGGTAGCCAAAGATGAAGTTGACCAAACTTAAATCCTGTGGAACGAGTAACCAGCCTCTGTGGTTGAATGCTCGTATGTTTTTGTGCAGTTCCACTCTTCAATCTACACCTAGATGTTATATGTGTTATTATTACATAGATACTGTATAAATTATAGTTTCGTCCAGAAATTCCACTGTAGGGTAGGGAAATCATTTTTTCTTTCTTTTTTTAGGTTCACACTGCCTGTAAAGATCTGTATCCTCGTAAATGTCCACTCGGCCAATGTAAGGTATCGATCATACCTCCAACAGCACTAAACAGTATAGACTCTGATGGTACGTAGTATTGTAGTGTGTTCAGTGGTAGCTCTGGACTTGCAGTGTCTAGTCATATCTGTATAACTAAAGAAGCCTAAAATCCCTCAGCTGAACAGGCGAATGCAGTCTTCAAATTTAGAGAATAGTAGAATTTTCCATATAGCTTTTTAGAGGGTAATTTAACCAACAAGATTTTAAAAATGAATTGAAAAGTTACCCCACTAGTTATTTTTTCCCCCGTTTTTATTTATGACTCTTGGAAACTTTTCAACTGAATGATCAGAGTCTTTAGACAAAGTGGTCTGATGCCTACCTGACATGCATCACTTGCAGAACGAGCTCTCAAATTCTGGATAACTTTGCTTTATGCTAAATGCTGGCTAAAGTAAGCTAGCTGAATGGCTCAGATCCAAAAGCTGTCTTACCAGGCTAAAGAGCAGAATTGGTTATATGGTCTCTCTGATTTATTTTTTTTTTATTCTATTTTTTTTTTTTTAAAGTATAAGCAGTGTAAGAATCCTGCAACACACTGATAAAGAAACCCAGCAAATCTTTACAACTCAGACATGCTCTTTTGTGGCTCACGGTAGAGATACATGAGCAGTGGGAGACTGTATTTGAAGGCAGGGAGTGGAATTAATATGGACTATCACGAAATCTAACAGCTTTCTTTTTATAGTTCCTGTTCATGACAAATGTAGACCAACAACTTTAACACAGTTTAATGACTTTTATTGTATGAAGCTAATAAAAGTCATTGTTTATATTGTATTTATGTAGTCTTTTCTATTTACTTGCTCTTTGGGGTCTCAGACCAGAGCATCATGCTGCTATCTATCATTCATGCTAAGAAGATTGTTTCATATGTGAAATTTTTTTTCCTTACACTTGAACAAATTAAAGAAACCTTATTTTAAATTATGCATTATTGTAATATGAAATTATAGTAGCATCCTTTAAAAACAATTTTTATATGTAGCTTTACTATTTGTTCTAGGCAATAAAAATGGCATAGTTATTTTAATATTGCCTGAGGTAAATGTCAACACCTATAGCTATGATGTCAGGTTTTGATGAGAAAGCACTACTTCCATGAAGTGGTAACGTTACTGACAGCAGTGTCCATTAGTGCTATTTACTGAGGGCCTTACAGAGAGCCTGCTATAATCAGTTAAGACCTTCATTGACGTTAATGAGCTTTGGATCACAACTGAAGGTCTGTTGTTCAATAATTCTATTATATTCGATAGTATAACTTCAGCCTGGAAAAAAAATCTCATGTAAAGAGCAACTGAGTATGATAACTTATTCTTAGAAAGCTCAGACTTGGATAATCAAGCTCAACCCAGTAAGGTTAAAGAAAAATCAGATTATAAAAAAACTAAACATTTCCAACTGAAATTTGTATGTATTTATGTGATAATCTGTGAAGAAGAGATTTGAGCAGTCTTCTAAAAAGCTAACCTTGTTCACTGTAGAAAAACAATAAAGCTATTGTCTTCAGGATTTTACTAAATCTAGGCACTGAAAATACTTGAGAGAAAAAATGAACTGGTAAATTTTGAGCAATTATGTTTTCCTTAAAGGGCTACTTTTCAGTTTAGTGTTTACGTAATGCATGATAAGATGTACTCCTTTTGTCTTTCATTCCTTTCTTCCTCTTTCCCATGATTTCTTTTTGTGTTGTTCATATTAGAAAGCCTTATTTATTTCATTCTTTCTAACTATGTTCACAGGTTTCTGGAAAGCCACATGCCCGCCATCCTGTGCCAGTCCTCTTTTAGTTTTTGTTAACTCAAAGAGTGGAGACAATCAGGGAGTAAAGTTTCTTCGTCGATTCAAACAGTCGTTAAATCCAGCTCAGGTGTTCGATTTAATGAATGGAGGACCTCACTTAGGGTAATGACCTTGGAAATCTTGAGCAATCCTTTCTGCAAGGAAATATAGTGCAAAGTATAGTATTGTATTGTCCCCTCATTGCTATAATTCTGTCACCAATATCTTCCTATTTAAAATTTGCAATAGCTAACAGAGTTTTAGTATGAATTCTGGTGGTGGAAGGGATTGCAGGATGACATTTTTGTTTTAGGAAAACTCATTTGCAATGGGTGATCATGAATATATTTAAACTTGTTTCATTGTAGAACAATGTTCAAAATATGATTTAGGCAACACATGAGAGTGGTCATGAAGATGAGCATCTCACAGTATTTGGAGTAAGACCTGTAGGTCTTTAAAAGACCTTTGGATTTAGAGCTTGGTGATACGGTTTAGTGGAGGACTTGTTAGTGATAGGTCAGAGGTTGGACTAGATGATCTTGGAGGTCTCTTCCAGCCTAGATGATTCTGTAATTTTGCGATTCTGTAAAGACCACAATTAAAACCATTAGGCATTCTACAAAATCTAAAGGTAGATTGTTGGAGAGAGAAAGGTGAAATTTGCATATTGGTGGCCACAACCCAATCATCTTTGAACATTCATGAAGATTAAATTCATGTACATTTTTCTGTTGCCTAACTTAATTCCACTCATAAGTAGCCTTATGGTTAAGTGGCCTATTAATATCAGTAGCATCAACTGGAAACACAATTTTTGGTAATCTTATGGATGCAGAATTATGATTGCATTATAAAAATTAAGGCATAGTAAAAGAAAAAAATTAAGTTAAAGCAGTGGGCAAATAATACAAATATAGGGGAATACAGCTGTGGGTTTTTATAGTTAGTACTGTGTTACAGAAATGTATTAACTCTAAGTTGTAATATTCTTTCCATTATAATCCATTATGATTTAAATTTGAGATTGATCTAAGTCCCTTTCAGCTAACATTTTGTACATGTAATTATAATGACATAAAAGTAAGGAAGGCTTGTCGTAACGAGAGAATTTTTGAGAGACAATCTGAAAAATATGCCTGTTTGAAAGCTCTCTTGTTTCATATACTTTTATCTGAAATTGGTATGATTCAAGACTTTGGATTTTCACAGTAATTATAGGTCAGATTGGTTGCTTTTAAATATTTTCCTCAATCAGTTTCCAAAGAGAGGTCCTTAGCAGTTATTTATCAGATAGAATGATGTCTTCTTTTTTCTAGTTGACCTAATAAACATAGTTGGGAGAGTGTATTTGTAGGGGGCTTTCTCCCTTTTCTCAGGGGTAGTAGAAATTCTGGAATCTATATTTTTTCCTCAAATATCTGCATCTTTTGTTCTGAATAGGTATCTACCTATTGTGTACAAGTGACATTATTTTCTTTAGAAAAATCTGAATATTTCAAAAATTTGTGATCTTAATATGTTGCTTTTTAGAAACAGTTCTGAGGTTATGCATATTCTGGAAAATAACATGCATTAAAAATATCTTTATTTTTGTTATTTTAAAAGTTAACACTTTCAAATTCTTTATTATTATTTACTTATTTAGTTTAAGTTTAAACCCTTGTTGTTTTTCCCTCTTGGTTGTTTCTTCATATCTCATTCCCCTTTCCTCTGTGTCTCACCTTTCTGCTTGTTCTGTCTTTCTTGTCCTCCTTTTCTGTACTGGTGACGAGTGTTGTTTATTGTAGAATAGAATGAGGAGCTGTAGGAAGTGAGAGCAGGATACTGCTTTAAGGATCTAATATGAAATATGGTATTATTTGTTTTACATTGTTGTCATCACCTCATGTGTAATAATTGCCTCAAACTGTCCTTGCATTTTGTTAGTCACAAGTTGGCAAAAGCTTACCTGTATTGTGGAGAACATCCTGTTGTCGTGTCGTAACCTTTTCTTGTGAAAAATTCCTGGTGGTGCCTTGTGCTTCTGACCTAAGTGGGAAGCACAGAGCAGTTGTAATTTCAAAGCTTAGAAAATTTTTGAATAATAATAATAAAATCCTGAAAACAATATCAAGGGAATTCTTTTAAAGTGAAACTGCATGTTATTTATCAGAAATGTCAGTAAAAGTGGAATATACAGTGATAGATGGGATGCAGATATGTTTATTACAGTAGTTGGTTGTATCCACATACCTCAGAACAATTCAAGCCTCACCATGAAGGTGCCATGTACCCTATTTTCATTTAATGGCTGTTCATTAGTATAATTGGTCTGTCGGTAACAAACATAGCTGATTCTAACGGGCCACATTTTCTCTCCAGTTTGCGGTTATTTCAGAAGTTCGACAACTTCCGGATTCTTGTATGTGGTGGAGATGGAAGCGTGGGTTGGGTGTTGTCAGAAATTGATAAACTCAGCTTGCACAAACAGGCAAGTGTGTATACTTATTTCCTTCACTATACTCACTATACTTTTGTATGCTTAATCTTCCTTAACCTGGCTCATTCTCGTGTTTATACGGACCAAACTCAGCAGTTCTGTTAAATGAAAAATTTCTGGGAAGTAAACAGGGTAAGTTTTACCTTGATTACTCATTTTGATTTACAAGCTTTAGAAATCAGCTATGTGATTGACATTAGTTGCTTGAAATAACTTTGTAAGTGTTTGCACTTTTGTTTTCTAGTTTTCAATAGTAGATTTGCTCCTGTGTTGTGTTTCAGTGTCAGTTAGGAGTGTTACCCCTTGGTACTGGAAATGACCTTGCCCGTGTCCTTGGCTGGGGAGGATCCTGTGATGATGATACGCAACTTCCACAGATTTTGGAGAAATTGGAAAGAGCCAGCACAAAAATGTTGGACAGGTAAACTGAAATGTGTATATATTTGACTTACCATGAGATTCAAATTATGTTTTTTTTCGTTTTCAGATGGTCTAAATTCATCTTAATGGATAGAAACTTAATCACAGAAGCACAGAATAGTTAAGGTCAGAAAGGACCTCTGGAGGTCTTCTGGTCTTCCTTGTCCGTCTGGTCATCTGCTCAAGTAGGGACATCCAGGTTGCCAGGACCATGTTGAAAAACCCATGCCTGTATGAGAGCAGAAATGAGGGACATTGAAATAGTAATTGGGGCAGATCTTCACTGTCCATTTCAAACCAAAGAGTTTGAAACAAAGAGTTTAGGAGGGAGGGTGGCTGATGAGTCTCAACTGTTTTGCTCGAAGATGAACAAAAGGAGACTTTTTTTTTTTTTTTTTTTTTATAGCTGATGACCTGCGTAACTGTCCATTAGTAGAAGGTATAAGCATTAAGAAATCACATATATTCAAAACCATTATGGGTAGTTTTACATGCTTCTTGCATAATATTAAACATTATTAAAGGTAACATCTTTATTTTGGAAATACTTGAACTTTGTTTCCTTGGGTGTAAGGGCAGTTCATATGATGTCTCTTCATTCTAGTATGCCTGAGGCATTAGCAGCTGTAGACAAGAAGCTGGGCTAAATGGATCTTTGGCTTGATCCAGTACTGCTATTTCTATTTGTGATCTTCCTGCTCCTGGTTTTGTATGGTAATTGCAGGCTGTTTCCATCTATAAAGCAAAGGAACAATCCTGATTTTAAAAAAGGTCTGAGAAGCTGGTGGTTGTGTCATTCTAACAGAGATGTAATGCTCTGCTTTTGGAATGAGTGCACATACGTGTGTGCTGGTATCTTGCTCAGTTAGTTTCCTGCATGGGTATTTATGTTCTTATTTTCGTTACAAAAAACTTGAGTCTTATCAAATGATTTCATATTTATTTATTTTTAATTACATAGAGAAACAAGTAATTTTTTTATTTTAAGCAGTTCTGCAGGCTATTAGACCATTTCACAGCAAAATAAATAAAGTGCTTGTAACTGATCTTTAGAAATAATCATTGGCCTGGGCATTCTGGAGTACACATAGATTAAGCTTGTCTTCTTCTGTACTGAAAAGTGCTTAGTGTCATTCTTTTTTGCGCTAACTGCAGTAGACTGGCTTCCATGGCCATCTGCAGTGATTTCTTTTTTTTTTTTTTTTTTTTTTTTTTTTCCAGCATGCTTCTGTCCTTTACCAGGGGAAAAAGTACATATGTCAATGAAAATACTTCACCATTTGCTTTGTTCATATGCCTTCACCCCGTAGTTGAGATGAAAAGCTGATAAGTTAGAGCTTTTTCTGCAGGAGCCATATATATTTTCTGTTGACTTCCATGGTTATTTTGCATGAATTCTTTCATACTACAAATGTTTACCTGGATTCTCCAGTAGCTTAATTGGATGTCCCATGATTTCTTCATAAATAAGATTTATTATCAAATCACTAACAAAAAACAAAAGTAATAAATTGACATTGGTTTTAAATATTTCACCCGTATTCATTTAGCTTATAACTGAAATGTTAAGTTTTTGTTTGTTTGTTTTTAAGAAGTTATTCTGTGGTATGACAATTAATTTGCTTTTTGTTGATATGTTGGAGAAAAGATAATACTCTAATAATCTGGAAACATAAAAGCTGTTATATTCCTTGTAGGTGGAGTATAATGTCATATGAACTGAAATTACCAGCAAAGCCTTCTATTCCTTCAGTCACTGCAGAAGAGGAGTCAGAGGAATGCCAGGTGAAGTTTTACTTTTGATTATTTTTTCTTCATGTACTTAACTTTGAGCTGTTGGGATGGCAATATTTGAAATATAATTGACGTACTTGTGTAAAAAATAGAAACAGATATTTTCTGATCTGCTAACTCAATTGAATTCATATCTGCACTGCATGTGTATCAAATAATTAGGGTTTCTAGTTCTGTATTATTTGTGAAAAAAGAACAAAGCTACAGAGTCTTCAGCAGAGCAGTCAAAGAAAATCTTCCCGTAGACATGTACTGAAAAAGCAAAATGTTTTCTACTTACCTTGAATTTGGAATAAGCTTTGAGAAAAACATTTTGAAGGCAGCGATTGTTATTCTGAAAGAAAGAAACTGTTGTAAGAAAGAGAGAGCTTATACAAGTGAGTTAGATCAGGCGATACCACCTAATGTTCTCTTTGTTCTTTTGGAGAGCTTGAAATCATGTGTGACCTCAAAGAAAAGCTCAGTATATCTTTAAAACTAGATTTGTGTTTGTACTATCTGATGAGTATTCGATTTTGAGGGAGAGCGAGATGCTTTAATCAAATTAATTGGCATAGAAAGACTGATTAAAATGACAAAATAATATATTCCTGAGAAATTTAACGCGTATCAACTTTAGCTCAAAAGTACTTGAGAAGCAATAATTAATCAGCAGGTTCGTGAATAATTTAATGATTCAGGCTGTTTTAATTGGCAGGGAGGTTATAACCTTTGACAGCTTGCTGGATATAGAGATGCAAAAAGATTGAAGTTCCACTGGCTGTGATTCTAATGTGGTTGTTGTTTGTTTCCAGTGTCAGCAATGTGGATTTGAGGCTTTATCTTCTCTAATGTTGCAAGACTCTTAACATTTACAAGTGTATCTTTATCTCATAAAGTGCAAAAAAAAAGAAAGAAAAAAACATGTTCTCATTATTTCCAGCTTTGAAATTATGTTTATCCCCTCCTAAAAATAGAAGTAAATGGTTATACAAAACCTCGTGTTGGAAAATTGGTTCTGCAATATCTTTGAGTTGGAGAAAGCAGTTTTCTTTTCAGTACCCTGTTTGGTTTCTATTTTAATGTTTTTGCATAATTTATGATATTTAAGAAAATAATTTTTAACCTTACAGTATGTAATGTATTAAAATGTGGTTCAAAAAGTAAATAAAAGTATATGTCCAATCCTTTTCCTTCTCTTTCGTTGAGTTTCAAGAGAATTATTTCACTTGATTTGGTTCCAGAAGACTACTGGTGTTCAAACATCAGTATGAGCATTCTTAGAGATTAGGTGTTTAGGTATTGCTTTTTTCCCCTTGATTCTACAACTAAAGCTAGAAGGAAAAAAAAAAAAAAAAAAAAGATTGGTACAATTGGTATATCAGCCTGGTAAATATAAAAGAAAGAGATGTATATCTATGTGTATCAAGGGCAAAAACACACTAAGAGATTTTAAGAAATTCATAAAGGAAGCCATCAAAAGGTTTCAGAGCTGCAGTTATTTTTAGCTTTAACTTTGTAATGTGGTTGGAATTTTCTCTTAAAAATGAGATCTGGATCCATGCCTATTTTGAGGCAGGATATAGTGTGTGAAGATGTGATTCTGATCCATTCTGAATCTTTTCTTTACCATTACAGAACTTACAATTCTTGTGGGTGAGAAGGAAAATGCACAGATTTTGTTCTCTCAAACAGTTTTGTAAAAAATAATTAGGCATTAACCATTAAAAGATTGTCTTTGATAACATCAAAGACTTTGCAGCCTTTGTCAGTAGGGCTACTGGGGGGAGTAAGTTACTATTTGACAGTAAAAAGAAAATTCAAGATTATAACCACAGATATTTGACTTCTTAGACAAGTTGCTTAGTTTCAGGGAAAAATTGCTTGTTTTGGAAAAAAGGGGAATTCAATTATAATAATACAGTATGTTATAAATCTGAAAAGAAGGTAGATTGTTTCTATCTCATGGGCTATTTTTAGCCTAGAAATAAATTACTCTTTCATCTACAGGAGGAAAAGAGTTGTCAATCAAGTTATCAGATACAGTGTTATTTTGAATATTAAAAAATTGGTATATAAAATATAGTATGCAGATAGAGGAGCAGCACTGCCAGCTGCTTGCCCTTGCTGTAGATCTGCCATGGAAATCCTGCTATTTTTGGAGGTGTTTTAACTCACTGGTTGGTGTTAAAATGCTGAAAAGTGTGGAAATGGAAATCTTTCCTCTCTGTTTTCAGATATCTGCTTATGAGGATTCAGTTGCTGCTCATCTTGCAAAAATTCTCAATTCTGATCAGCACTCAGTTGTCATATCATCTGCCAAGTGAGTTGGTTGTTTTAATGTACAATGTATGGGATAAATCCTCTGTGAAACATTACAGCCATAATAACCTTCTGTATAAGCCCAATTTTCTCATGGTTGGCCCAGCTGGTTTGGCTTAATATATGTTGATTTATATGCTTTTGAGTGGATGTTTTCCTTGCAAAAGTTTTATATGGTAAAGTTGTAACGGATATCTTAATACTAAACATGTTAGTGTTTTTTTTTTTTTTTTTTTTAATTATATAAAGTTATTTTAATACACTCAAAATCAGCATGCAGCTTAAATATGGAACTGTTACTAATGCAAATATGTGGCCTACTTCATGTTACATTTTTTTTTTGTTTCATTTTATGCATATCTGTGGAATTAAGAGGACAAACAGCTTCACCACTGAGAAGCAGAATTTCAAATTGGTTGCTGTGTAGCTGTCTGTATCAATTCAATAAACAGTGGTCTTAGAAAACAGGGTATTTTTTCTGCAACCCGAAACACTTAAAAATTAGAGAGAATTGCTCTACAAATCATGGACATCATCTGAAATCAGAAGTGTTCTGTGTATACTTCCTCCTAGAGTCTTCAAAAATACATCTGCCATTACATCTTTTTTTTTTCCTTCTATTTAAGTTAATAAAATTTTATTAAGTTATTTAAGTTAATAAAATTTCATTTAAAAATCATACATAGTGTATGTTGAAAATTACACTGCAGAATTTTATTATTGTTCCAAATCCTAAACTGTCTGTATCTTGTTAAATCTCACTATTTAGATTATGTAAAGTAAATTTCAACCAAATGAACAGTACTAACCAATTATCCACACTGTTAGTAAGGTTGCTGTCTGTCTGCAGTGTAGGTAATAAGAACCAAGTCTGTCTCTGATTTACACAATGAAAATTCATTTCAGCCCCTGCAGTTTATGTAGACATGCCTGAGGGCCAGCTGTGGTTCACCAGTATGAGCTGGGCAGTAGGATGCGTGTGGCCATCCGTTTTCATCTCAGAAGTATTCCATTAAAGTCATTTAGATTTTCTCCATGGGTTCTAGGCTTCATCTTCAGATGGGAATTTTGCAAGGCTGTTTGAGGTTAATAAAGTGAATGCAAGTTTACTAACAACACTAGTATGGAAGGTTTACAAGCATGGGAATTGATAATATTAGTCATGTTCATTTCAGTTATTACAAATAAGAGACAAACTTAAATACAATGTGTGCAAAGGCTTAAATAAAAATGGAGACTTTTTTTGTTTTATCACTTTGATTTTGCAAGCTCTTGAGAAGAGTATAATTTGCTTTGCAAGTATGAAAACAGTTCAAAACACGAATGGTGTATAACTGTATGCGTATAAATCAATAGCCATAAGAATTTAATATTCAAAACATATTTATTTTATCTCATTTGATTTCTCCTCTCTCCTATTATTGCCAAGAATATTATGTGAAACTGTAAAGGACTTTGTTGCCAAAATAGGGAAGACTTACGAAAAACCAATGGAAAATGCAGATGAAGCTGATGCCATGGCCATTAAAGTAAGACTATGACTATTCTCAGGGTTAAAGGTGTGGGGGTTTTGTTTGTTTGTTTTTGTTTTCTTTGTTTTTGTTTCCTGTGGGTGTTTAATTTTTAAATGGCTTCAGGATACCCAGCTTGGCTTACATTTCAGCCAGTGACTGTAAAATTCTTCTCTTAGTGCATAGAACAGTTATTTCCAAATCATCTTTGCAATGTAAGGTCTCTATAAATTCTATTTACATTTTTTTTTGCCTTCATAAAACACACAGTAACATACATAGAGAAAAATGGAAATATTTTGCATTAGGATTCTTACTTTTTGTCTGAAGGGGATTGAGTTACCTACAGGAGAACAGTGGACTGTATGTATGCTGGGAGAATGAAGGGAAGAGAAATCATAATGTTAAAAATAACAGATCAAGATGCAAATTGTAGAAATCATGTTGCAAAAATATTGAAAAAGACAGAAGGGATCTGGTCTGAGGCACAAAGCTTATAAGAGCTGAAAAGAAAAATAAAAAACAAAATCACTAATAATCCCAGAGTCCGGAAATGTACTTGCCAAATGGCAATTACTTCATGATTCACGTTTCTGTAGTATTCAGTGTACGTTTTAGAAAATGTATCTTCTTTTTCACTCTGCCATGGCAAAACAGTATTGGTTTCCTTTCTTTTAAGCACAGCAAATTCCCTCTTTTCCAGTGTACTTACAGAGAGGTACTGCTTGGTGAGGGGTAGAGATGTTTGACAGTGTTTCCTCAGTGCCAATTCACTTGCTTAAATGTACAGGTGTGTAGCAAAACAAACAAACAAACAAAAAACAAAACAACAACAACAACAAAAAACCAATTGTATGTATTCTCAGTCTAACTGCTGGGCATGTCCCCATCATTTGTCCAAATTTGGGTATGAATGTCCATAATTTCATAATTTGTTATATTGTTTGGTATGGACAAATCTGTGGTAGTTCAGTCTGTAGTGTTGGACATCCAAAGAGGTGTAAAATCTAATCTGCACCCTAATTAAGAGGCAGGCTGAGTTTAACACAATGTGTTATTTTAGTCAGAGCTTTTGTGGTTATAATTGCTGCAAACTGGCTGGGTGTTGCAGGGTCTGTCTACAAAAAATCATGCAAACTGACTCATAATTTGATATACAAAATGTTGAACCTGATTTAGATTTTACACAATTACGCAGACATGTAGATACAACTTTAAATCATACCACATGGAGAATTTAGATCCGTCCTATAACATGATACTTAATTTCCTCAAAATGTTGACGTTCACTGCTATTTGGTGTATGTATGTTCTCTTCACCTTTGTCTTAGTGTTCAGAGTTAAATGAGAAGCTAGACCTGTTGCTCCAAGCTCTTCACACAGAAGCCCAGGCTGCTCCTATTCTCCCAGGCATCACTCCCCACATTGTGGAAGAAGAAGGAGAGGAGTTTTCAAGTGAGGAATCCTTGTCTGAAAGTAAAGAGCAATTAGCAGAGTGTGTTCCAAAGTCTTCCACCCAGAAACTCTTCAAACCAAGAGAACAGTTAATGCTTCGGGCAAACAGCTTGAAGAAGGCTGTGAGGCAGATCATTGAACAAGCAGAAAAAGGTGCGCATTCATCTTTACTGATTTTGATCCTCTCCCTCTCCATCTTCCTCTCCTCCATGAATTTTAATAATTAAACTTGATTTCTGAATTCTTACATCGTTAAAATTATATGCCTAATACAAGTTGCAAAGACAAGAAATGTGTTTTGTTTTAGATGCTGATGACAGTCTGTATATATGATAACATATTTGTGCATATGTGTGTGCATATACAAGTGTGTTTCTTTGGTAACTATTATTCTCCACAAAATGAAAATTTCTGGCAGAAAAATGTCAATAGGCAAAGGCAATTACTAGAATCTTTTTCACTGAAATGGCAATAGAACCATTTTTTTTAATATTTTAAAACTTAAAGCTGTGGGAAAAAGAAGCTCATATTTCATTTATTCAGATTTTCATTAAAGATCGTTAACCTTTCTGTCATTTTTTTTTAAATAAGCAGTTGTGGATGAGCAGAATGCTCATAGTGAAGAACAAGTGAACCAGTCCCCTGTAGAATATAGCAAAGAATTGGATGAATCCAAAGAAGAGGAAAAAGACGAAGATACAAAGGAATATGAGTCCCAGTCAAGTGAGTAAATTAGTAATAAAATAATTTTAAATTATGTAGTTTTCCTATGAAACCAGCATAGTTGATTGCATAATTAAAACCAGTTTGATTATTTCTATTGGTTTTATATCACTTTCTGAAAAATATCTTCTTTGTGTATAAAATGTTTCTGGTTGTTGGAACACCTTGCATTGCATGCAGTAGGAGAATGGAACTTGTGTGAAAGCGTACAGCTGTGATTGTCCTTTCTAACTGGTCTGAGAGAATATTTTGCAATGAATATACTATTTGCCAAATACTGGCATGTTGTTACACTGGAGACTAGTCGCAAACTTTTAGATTTGGATAAATAGGAGTTGAAGGAAAAATGCCAGAGAAGATGAACAGTCTTTTGGAACACATTTGCAAAGCTGAAAAGGTTACTTGTTGGGGAGAGAGGTGCCTGCATTTAACCCAGCGTTTGCACTCAACTTTCTATATGAACCTGAACAATGACTAGAACCTACAGAAGAGTGGCAATAGCATGTCTCAGTCATAGAAATTTTAGGGCATATTACAGGAATTTCTGTCAATCATTTCTGTTGAAAGTGCTTCAAATTGTGCAAAACTGACATATTTATTCATTGTACTGACAACAAACCTGCAATTCTCAGCTGGGAACTTACCTTGAAACAGAGTTTTTTGGAACTGAGAGAATACATATTTAAGTATTTTATGTGACGTAGAACAGCTTAAAGTAGGAAAGAATATAATAGAAACATGAAAGCCTGCTGAGAAGTGCAAGTACGAAGGTCATTCCCTCTAGTTGTCTAATCCAAAGCAGAGATATGAAACCAAGTCTTTAATGTCCTTGGTGTGTCCGACCTTCTGGCTCATCTGGCAGGTAATATTACATTCGCTACCTCTTCTTCATGCACCTTTTCCTCAAGATTGAACCATTAAAAAATAATAGTAGAGGTTCTGCATTCATTGAATTTCAATTAGAAAATTTAAAATAAAGAGACCATGGAACACTGTTCCTGTTGTGTTTGTTGAGCAGCTCCAGGCACCAACGCTAGGATGGTTACAGATGCTAAAAGGTAGTTTAAATTATAACAAGTGAAGAATTTAATTTCATTTTTATTAAATGACTTATTACTGTCTGGATCCTCCTTCAGAGGAGCAGACGTAAATAGTTCAGCAATACCCATTACAAAATACTTTCAGAAATTAACTAAGTTAAGTCATTTAGAAAAGGACTGGCCAAAGAATCAGGAAAATGAAGAAAAATAGCCTGATCTTATTAATCTTTCTAGGTAGCCTGTGCTATCATCCTCAAGTATCCTATACTTTTCCAGCTTTCACAGCTTCTTCCATAGGCAGAGGACCACTGTCAAAGAAGGGCTTTTACAAGTCCCTCAATGACAAAAGGAAGACTATGGGAAATGTGGGCCCTCTCCTGAAGGAAACAGGGGACCCTGTTACCCAAGACAGTGAAAAGGCCAAGGCACTGAATCCCTTCCTTGCCTCAGCCTTTACCAGCAAGACTGGCCTTCAGGAATTGCAGGTCCCAGAGGCCTGGCTGAAAGGCTGGGGCAAGGAAGATGTGCCTTTGGTGGAAGAGGATCAGGTCAGAGAATACTTGAGCAAACCGAACATTCACAAGTCCATGGGCCCTGATGGGATGCACCCGAAGATGCTAAGGGAGCTGGCAGATGGGATCATGAGGCAACTCCCTATAGTCTTTGTTCAATTATGGCAAATGGGAGAAATGCCTGAAGACTGAAAGGAAGTAAATGCCACTCCTATCTTCAAAAAGGGAAAAAAGTTTCCATCAGAGCATCAGGAAGCACTTCTTTACTGTATTGGTGGTGGAGCAGTGGCACAGGTTGCCCAAACAGGTGGTGGAGCCTCCCTCCTTGGAGATCTTCAAAAGCTACTTGGACATGATCCTGGGCAACCTGCTCTAGCTCCTTTCTTGAGCAGGGGGGCTGGACCAGAAGACATCCAGAGGTCCCTTCCAACCTTAACCATTCTGTGATTCTGTGGAAGTTACTAGGGCTCCTTTTCACTAAAAAAACCCTTGGGTCCTCATTCCCAAACCAAATTGTTAGTCCAGCTAGTTCCTTGTGGCTATTGGCTGCCGTATAGCAAGTCACTATACCAAGCTATGCTTGCTTTCCAAGCTGTACAGCCCCTTACCTGCTCTGTCCTTGTTCAAATGAACTGTATCAGCTATTCATGCCCAAGTGTTTCTGCTTTCCAGTAGGAGCATCATGTGTCCTCACCATGGGGCTTTGTAGGTGATTTTCAAAAAAAGGAAGGCAGCATGTATGTGTGGGTAGCCCATGTTGAGTTTCAAAGTCCAATTCAAAATAATCCACATGTATTATTTCTATCAATAATTGTACAAAGCAATTGGAATATTGAGTGATCTGAGTCCAAAACAACTTTCCTGGAAGGCATCATTTTCATAAAAGTAATAGCCTATTTTGTTGCATAGTGTTTGGTTGCTATGTGTGAAATAGTTTTTATAGAATAGTATTTTCACTTATCTCCTGAAATAGCATAGTAATAATTCCCACATTCAAATGATAGGGAAAAAAATCTCTCTTTCATGTTTCATTTACAAAATCTGCCAACGAGTGGCTGCAGTGAAAGAAGAAAGAGCAATTTATCTGTGATAGACCTCTTCTTCTGCTTGGTTTTGGCATCTAGCACAACCAGCCAGAGGTTGTATTTGGAAGCTGCTCATCACAAATTTCAATACTGCTTTTTGTGTTCATATGCCAAAGTTATTCAAGAGTCTCAAGCTGCATAATAATTGCAGGAAACCCATTTGTTGCTAGGGATGGAAAATTCGGTCTGCCATATTACCAAAGTGGGCAGTGACGCACTGCAGGTAAGGTTTCAGGAGAGAACCTGAGTCATGCCAGCTGGTGTACAGCGAAAGCCATCCTGTAGATATTTAGTGAGCAAATTCCTGTGGCAAAATAAGCTGCCAGAAAAGTTATTTGGAATTTGCCTCTCCTTCTATTACCCCAAGCCACACGAAATTGCCCAGATGTCTTCCTGAGGCTCTGCACTGAAGTTGGTGTCTGTGTCCATAGTTCCTACCTTAGAAATGCATCATTGGTTCCTTGGAGATTCAGTTGATTCAGAATTTCCTTACCTCCAGGAATGGATTTTAGACTTTGTCCAATGGTTGTCTATTCATTGTTCTCTTTCCTCTAACCCTTGTTACAGAAATCAGTGTGTGTTGGTTGTCCAATTCCAACAGTTCCTCACAGAGGATGCTGGCACTAAGGATGACCTGGTCCTACTGCTGTTAGTGTAAAATAAAATAAAAATACATACTTTCACATACATGTACATTTATATAAATATATATATAAAAACTTGTTTCTTGGTGATACAATTTCTGTGCTTATTGGGAGGTGTGTTATTCTTCGTACATCCAAAACGTGTGAAATAGAGTGTATATTAATGCTGTCAATGGGAAATAGGTGTTTAGGGAGAAAGCATGAAACATGAATTCAATTATCTGCAATGAAACATTAGTTTTACTCATTAAGGCTCTGTTGTTTTTATCAGAGCATGAACAGCAAAAGTTTATCTTTATTGCAGTTATCCCCCTGAGTCTGATCTGTCAAATAAAGAGCAGCTGCTCTGTTGATTTTCCTATTTAATATAACTGCCTTGTTCCCAAGTACAGACAGAACAGTCTGTATGAATAACATTGTGAATTTTTCAGTAGCATTATGAAAAATTGAAGTTAATTGTGTTCTGAATATTATATTTTACCCTCTGAGATTACATTCATCAAATGACCAGAAACAATATTTTTCCATATGTTAATTACCTTCATCTAAATATTTAATAACTCTGGTTAGATCTAACTAGCCATTTTAATTTCATTTTTTAACACTATAGTATAGTGTTTTATCATGCCCATATACAAATAGTTGTGCTATATTGTTATCATGCAATACTACAGCATTTTGTGATAATTCCTAAGGCTGGTTAGATCAGAAGGCATTGTTAGACCCCTTGGTCAGACCAATATAAAACAATCCAAAAAATTTCACCTCCTCATCCCTGTCCTGCATCTAATAAGTTTTCAGGTGTTGAGAAGAAAATTTCAGATCACTTTGAAATAATTTCATTTTTTGAGTGATTTCAGTTGGTCAACGTAGAAGTTGTCCTAAATTGAAGTATTTTTAACATGTGAGATAATTTGGAGCAGAAATAGCCAAGAAATATCTGACTATGATCAGATGGGTGTAAAATCTTTCTTCATGTGCATGGAAATGCTGTATCAAAGTGTTCAACAATACACAAACTCTCTTCCCCGGAGCACCAGATTCTGATGATGGGGCTGACTTTCATGAAGATTATGTTCCCTAGGCAGGAGTAGCCATTGGGGTATTCTGTCAGTCAGTCCGAAACTGGAAAGCACCTGAAGCCAGCCCTCTGAAAAGCCTGTCCTTTTCCATTACCTACAGAGGCAGGCACTGGGGATAGCTGGCCTCACCAAGCCAGTATTTCCTTTTTGTCAATATCTTCTCTTGCCCCTTTTCTTTCCCTTCTTTTTCCTGAGCTGTTACCTGCCTTTGTCACCAACAATTTGGTCAGCTATTAAACTTTGTGATGTGTCTTAAAGGTTTATTGATCAATGTTCTGTAGAATTTTAACAAATAAGTTATTTCTATTATTTTGGGAATTCCTGCTTTTTGTGAAAAGGAAAAGTTGTCAAACTTATATCCCCCATGATCTTTCTAACTGCAGAAGACAAAAATGTCTGAACATGGCTTTCTTTCCCTTCCCTTGCCGTTTTCAGTTTGGCTGTAGATAAAGATATCAGAGTTGACTGATGTTTTCAGAAACCTGATGCAGGCAGAGCGTCAGTTTTAGTTGCTTAAAGCAAATAGTTGGCTGTTGATCAGGTGGCCTAATTTGGGCCTGAGAATAGTATAGCTATTCATATTAAAATTGTTATAAATAAAAACTAACTCTATAATATAGGTATATTTATAATTAAACATATGTCAAAATTAAAATTAATATATTTATATGTATCCTTTATTAATAATTGTTTTTCTTTTTTTCTCATGTCTGCATTTTTGTGAAACCTGGTGTTAGGTTTATCAGAAACTTACTGCAGTATTAAATACTATTACATTTTAAGGTGAATATAATTTATTTTCTTGCTAGTGTCTTGAAGCATAAGTTAGGAACTCCTCACACTGAACGCCATGTACACTCACTCATTTTAATTTGTGCTTGTCACTTGACTTTATTTCTGAGTTTTCTTCCCTGTATTTAGAAGAAAAAGTATGCAGTGAGAGGGAAGGACATTTCTCACTAAAGGGTAACAGATTAAACTAATGGGTTTGAAATATTTTCAGGTCTGAAAAATAAAACACCACCACCAACAACAAAATGTATCTGATATTGCCATAATAGATCTAATTAGTGCTCTAATTTTTATGTCTTCTGCACAGTTAAAACTGCACCAAGATCTCCAGATCGACGTACGAGTCGAGGTATCCATTCCCAGACAGGCTCTTTCTCTGCTCCAGCTTTGGCTGCCAGTAAAGAAAACCTCCCTGTGCTTAACACTAGGATTATCTGTCCAGGTAATTATGATTTTGAAATTCGCTGTTCCTTACAGTGTGTTAATACTGCCCTCTGTTCCCCTTGTTGCTGTCAAATAGCAATTTTTACATCGTGCCAGGGGCTCTACCTGGAAATGGCATAAAAAGTTCCAAATTTGTCTAAACTGATACACTTATCTTTGCATTGGATCATATAGTAGGAAGTGCAAAGTGATGTAGAATATACCTGCTCATTTGGCACAGCACCAGATGTAGCAAGCGTTGCATTTGATCCAGGAGGATGAAAAACAAAATTCAGAATATTCTATCATTCCTCCTAACCAGCGGACAGAACCATGTAAGGATCAACATGGACAAATCCATGTAAGGATAAGAGATGTCTATATGTACCTCTCAGGAAATGTATAACTGAAACTACACAAAGCTGATGTATGGTGAAAAATGTTGAAAAAAATTCCTCCTATCCAAATGCAATTAATACCAGGGAACACCAGTAAAGCACTGTTTTAATTGACTTAATTGGTATAGTTAAAACAAAATGGAACTGAACTTACATTTTTCTTTAGGTCAATTTAGGTAAAAGCTTGTAGAAAGTACTTCTCTTTCTTTACATGCATCAAATATTTTGTGTCGTGACTTCAGTATTAGTCAAAGTAGGCACGGCAAGGCTGTGATCTCACCACTAATTAAATTAAATCAATCAAACTATGACTTTTCCAGTTCTGAAAATGATAAGGGTATTTCTTACCATGCCAGTTACCTTCCTTAAGCTGCCAGTTATTTTCATGTCACTCATTCTGTTTTCTTTACATTTTTCAGTCTCCTTCGGACCAGGCCTACCCAACTAAAATTTGTTTTCTAGTTTCTTCCTTTCGTCCTTTCTTCCTTTCTTCCTTCCTTTCTTTCTTTCTTCCTGCCTTTTTACATTCCTGCCTTCCTTCCTTTTTACATTCCTGCCTTCCTTCCTTTTTACATTCCTGCCGTGTTCTATGCTTGTTTTGTTTTGTTTTTCTTTCCGCTTTTCTCCTAATGTTGTCTTGATATCCATCCTTTCTTCATTTCTTCTGAAGACATCACATCTTCAAGAGTCTTCCACTCAGCTTGTACTTACCAAGCTGAATATTTAAGCATTCACTGAAGGATAGTTGGCTAGTTGCAGAACCAACCACATGAATGTTGATCTTATGACAGTTGCCTTCTAAAGGATAGGACCAAAAGAAAATTGTGATCAGTTTGGAGATGAAGATTAGACTGAGTAGAAAACTCTAATAATCTTTCTGAATGTTGGATAACTCATTTGGTTATTATTTGCCAACCAGTGAATTGAATTTTATTGATTTTTTTTCTTTTTCTTTTTTTTTTTGGTGGTGTTACCTGAAAATTTAGCCACCACACTTCAGCATACCTTTCTTTCTGTTCAAGAGAGCCAGAGACCTAAAAAGATAAACAGTATAGGTAAAAGTTGAGATTGAAATCCAGTCCCTCCATACATGGATTTGATTAATATTTTCTCTCTCAAAATTTTGTGGTTTATATTATGACAATATATGTTTCTCTGTTTAACAAATTAAAATTGTTTATTTTTTCTTGTTTGTTTTCTTTTTATCAGGTTTAAGGGCTGGCCTAGCTGCTTCTATTGCAGGAAGTTCAATTATTAGTAAAATGTTGCTAGCAAACATCGATCCATTTGGTGCTACACCATTTATTGACCCGGATCCAGATTCACTGTAAGATTTTCTTTTTCTAAATTTATTGTTTTGCTTTAGTTTGCTTTACTTAATCTCTTTAAGCTTGACATATTTTCTTTTCATTATAAAATTCTGATTTGCAATCATTTTTCAGTAGACTTCAAGGTCTGAAAACACATTGGATTGTGCCATTTTAGAATAAGCCTTCAGTTATTAGTAGTGCAGAATTGTCTTGCAGCAGCAGAAATAAAGGAAGACGTGCTCACTTATTCCTTGCACACTGGCAAGAGGACAAGGAGAGCAGTACATCAGAACTGGGTTTTCCTGCCTGAAGTGCTGGTCTGAACGCAAGTTAAGCTGCCAGCAATATATTGAAGCAGGGTCTTGAAGTGGAGGACAACGAAGAGTGTCCTCCTAAGGACTGGGACAGTGAGGTGGAAAATTTGTGTCTTAAGTTGTCTCTGCATCCTAGGGTATAGCATTGACAGAGTCTTATGGATAACATCTGTCTTGTAGGCTGTAGCCCTACATGGAAGCCCTAAAACAGCACTGCTGTGCTAACAGCATCAGCCAAACATCCAGCACCAGCATGCCTACATGTAAATGCATCCCACTTTGGTGTGGCTGTCTTAGAGCTGTGCCAAAGGCAGCTCTTGCCTTGTCTGCCTCTGTTAGTTTGGGTCTGGTGGAGATAATGGGTTATGTTAGAGTTTCTTCTTTGTCCTATGGGAACTTTGCACTTGCAAAGGAGACAACAGCCAACCTGTGTCTTCAACTACCATTAGATTTCCTCAGGAAGGCTCAGAGGAACCACCTTGTGATGTCTTTTGCTGATGTATCTGCTCTGAGACCAACCACAATCTTGGTCAAAGTTCTGTGTGTCCAGGAACTGTAAAAATGTGCACCTAATTATCTCTTCTTCTAACAGGGAGGGATATTCAGAAAAATGTGTCATGAACAACTATTTTGGAATTGGGTTAGATGCAAAAATTTCACTTGAATTTAATAACAAGCGAGAAGAGCACCCTGAAAAGTGCAGGTAATTGTCAGTGACAGAGCCGAGACATTTCCATAAGTTTTGTTTTCCTTATCTCTTTATTTGAAGTTCTTCACTTTTTCTTTTTCCTACAAATGCAAAACATAATAATATGTACTTCAGTATGTGAATCTGATTTTTTTCTATTTTCAGAAGTCGGACAAAAAACATGATGTGGTATGGAGTTCTTGGCACAAAAGAGCTGCTGCAGAGAACTTACAAGAACTTAGAACAAAAAGTTCAACTTGAGGTAATTTTTATTCATGGGTAGAATGACGTTTTTTGCTTCTGCATTATGTAGTGAAGAATTCAGTGTTCCTCTTGAAACTTTTAGAGTTCTTGTGTCAGCCTAAGCTGATAAAATCCTGTCCTCATATGCACTGTCTAAGAATGTGTTATGTAAGAGGTGATTCCCCAAGTGATTTCTTGGAGAAAATATCAGTATTTAAATATCTCAAAATATCAGGTTTCCCATTTTTTGTAATTGCTGTTTTGTTTTGTTTTATTAGAAAAAACTCTTGCATAGAAAATATATAAAAGATATTCTTCTTAATGTCTATGACATTAAATTGGGAGCCAGGTTTTAAGGATAATAACAGAAATGTACATACATTAAACAGAAGGAAAGGGATAAGGAGTCTTAATCCTTCAGGTTCACTTTAAACAATCTGACAGCTTGATTACACATATAGAGAGAGCACACAGATGGTCGGCTTTATGAAAAAAAATCCTGACAAGAGGAGAGATTCTGAGTGTACACCACAAGAAGCTTAGCTACACCTACAGAGACTTTCTCAAATAGGTGTTCAAGAAAGTCACACAGAGAAACCAAAGTATTACCACAGCAACAACAAATGCAACAACAAATGCAATCAATGGTAATTATCTGAACGTAAAGATTTTTTTTTTCTTTTAAACTCTAGCACCAAATCTAAGACTTCTTCACAATACTAGGAACTTAAATTAGATTATATAAATGGTTACTAAATGCAGAAAAATACTTTGGGATGGTTACAGCTGTGCTCACCTGAAGAATATCTAAGCTGGAGTTTGAAAGAGAACCTAAATGGTTTCTCTCTTTTTTTTTTTCTTTTCATTTTATGTATTTAATATGGAAGCTCATGATATGTATATGAAGATACTTTATAAGTTAAAAGAATAATTTGAATTTACTGGAACTCTTTCTCTTCACTGAGCTTTAGGAGGAATTTGTATGGTAGAGGCAGATTGCTGTTATCAAAGGATTGAATAATTATTATGGAATTATACAGTAGTTAGTGAATATAATGACAGGAAAGAACATTATGTATGCTGCAGATAGAATTCTAATTTAAGGATATCTGAATATGATTCAAATAAGATTCAATAAGGCATTCATATCTGACCCTTCCATAATTATTTTTGAATATGTCTGGAAGTAAACCAACAAGTAGAAATTTCATATTTAATGTTGCCTTGCATAATATCAGCCTTATGCTAAAACTTGTGATGAGGAGCTCAGCACTGAAAAATTAAAATTATCAATTTCAGGAATTGGAGGCAGACCTCCACTATAATGCAAATGGCTATGTAGCATTTATTAATATCAGAGCACATGTTGGATACTGTCATATTTTGATAAAAATGTTAAATTGTGTCTTGTTGCTGAGATTAAATCATAAAAAGAGGGTGCTAAGCATATTCTGGAAATACTTTTCATCTCTTTCTACTCCTGATACAATTGCTAAAGATTTCCTCATGGACCTATTTGAGGGAGTCCAGAGGAAGGCCATGAGGATGATCAGAAGGCTGGAGCACCTCTTCTAGAAAGACAGGCTGAGGGAATAGGGGTTGTTCAGCCTGGGAAAGAGAAGGCTCTGGGGAGACCTTACAGCAGCTTTCTAGTACCTAAAGGGAGCCTACAGGAAAGCTGGGGAGGGACTCTTTGTCAGGAAGTGTAGTGATAGGACAAGGGGGAATGGCTTTAAACTAAATAATGGGAGATTTAGATTTGATGCTAGGAGGAAATTCTTCACCCAGAGGGTTGTGAGGCCCTGGCACAGGCTGCCCAGAGAAGCTGTGGCTGCCCCATCCCTGGAGGTGTTCAAGGCCAGGCTGGATGGGGCTTTGGGCAACCTGGGATGGTGGGAGGTGTCCCTGCCCATGGCAGGATGTTAGATGATCCTTAAGGTCCCTTCCAACCCAAGCCATTCTCTGATTCTGTGATTTGTATAATTATAAGATACTTTGATGGGACTAGTAAGTCGGTAATTTAGCAATGTTCTTTGAAGAAAACTTTACCTGCAAACTGATGATCCCCGAAGTGATACCTGAATCCAACATTTATGACCTTACATGTCCTACTTGCTTCAAATACATATTGTGGCCCTGCTGCAGGACTATACTTTTGACTCCCAGTTCAATGGTTTGGGATGATTGGGCTCACACGTGCAGTTTTACTGCTGTAAATCAAGAGAGATATCACTGTAAAATTACTCTGGTCAGTAATCAAGGTAAGCCTGACCTGACTGACATGATTACTTGATTGTGTTGAGTAGCACTAGTTGTTGCTTATGTCTTTTGGAGGATAAAGAGGACCAACTTCTTACCTGCAAACAAACCCACAATTTTTAGCCACAGCCAAGATAACATAACAGTGAGTCCTAGATTTGCCATTGCACTTTTGGAAGGAGAGTGAGTTATTTCTGCAGGAAGCCAGCTATACAAGTACTAACAACACTCGTATTAAGTACACTTGTAGCAATGCTAGAAACGTATTTTTTTTCCCCACTTAATAGGCTTACCTAAATAACAAGTGTATTGTAACTTTGGGAATTCAGAAACAGGATGGGCAAACCAAGCTTTTTGTAATGTCAATGAACATTGCTGGCTTAATGTGTACACCGAGGATTTAAAAAAATTAGCTTTTTTCATTGCTAAAAGACTTCTAATCCGTGATAGGGAGAGCATGGTTTAAGTGCACTGAGAAATTTCACAGGTAGGGATGCGAAAATGCTTCTTGGAAGAGTCACGGAACACCTCTGCTGTAGATACTCCTGTTTTGTCATCGCTGCAAAAATTGGTGCTGAGATTAGGGAGGAAAAGTTTGTATTAGAGCTGCTTTGCAGTGTGGGTGGAATAGGCTTCTGTCAACCTATTAATGACTCTGTCCTCCCCTGCCAACACCATTGAGGCTTCATGTATTAAAACGGCTGACTACTTTTATCACATTATTTATATACTGAATGAGCTTTTATCCATTACAGTGTGACGGACAGTACATCCCCCTTCCAAGTCTGCAGGGCATAGCTGTGCTAAACATTCCCAGTTATGCTGGTGGGACTAATTTCTGGGGTGGAACCAAGGAAGATGATGTGAGTAACACTGAAGAGAAATAACCTTCTGGGCAAAACCTACAATAAATCCCATGAACTGCTGTTCTTGTTTAATTTTAATGGTACAGTCTGGATAACAACTCTTATTCAGGGAGGCTACTTGAGTTTAAACTGTATTGTCTTGTATTTGATTGTTTTTTTAAATGGAAAATATATACCATGGTTATGCATTGTCTATTGTCTTCTGTCATGTCCTTTACATTCCAGCAAACTTTTCACAATGATTAAAAAAGAAAAAAGCGGCTCTATGGAATAATATATTTAGAAAATAATTTTAAAGACACTACTAGTTTCTCTACACATTATTTGCAGAAGTTGTACAACAAAGTTTCTCAAAGCATAGATTCCACTGTTATATTCTAATAATACGGAAGATGGACAAAGACAATCTCTCACACAGTTTGTACTTGAGTTTTCCTCCTGTTCTACAAACAGCTTTGGATTAAGGGATGGTCACTGCGAAAATTTAGTGACTGGTAATTTAGTGGGGATGGTAATCTGGTTTTAGACATTATTTTCAATGAATGAGCTTCTTAAAAATTTTGCAATGATATCTATTTTTACCTTCCTCCTCATATCTTCCAAGAAATGTTGCACTACACAGGTGCCTGAATGTCTTACAGCTACAGCAGCACTAAGACTGTTTCATGTTCTCTACTTCATGCACAGTACAACCATTGTAATTGCTTGCAGACTATCCCAGTTCTGAATATCCTGATTTACTGTGAGGTCTGATTCACTTAAAACTGTACTCGCCAATTAGATTCTGGTTTTAATCTCGACAATCCAGGACTTCTTTCACCAAACTGCTTTTGCTTTCTTGTGACTTACTATGCTCTGTTTTTATACATGTTTTAAAGTCAGAACAAGTATTTCAACATGTTTCAATATACTTTTTTTTTTTTTTTTTTTTTGGAATACATTGGAGAATGGCAGTTATGTTTATATTTGGCTGCAGATATCTAATATTTTGATGTTCTCCATGTTCAGAGAAGCTTGAAAGCATCTCTAACGTCTGCTCAGCTCCTGTTTGGGAGTTTATTTTTCTCCCTGGGCTGTCTGACTGAGAGAAAAGATCTGTCCTAGCTGTCATACTGGCATACAGCAAATGTGTATGTCTTGGAGGAGTTTTATTGATATTTTTAGTCATCTGGGGATCAGAACTGCCAGCAAAGTACATGTTTGCTCTGGACAAAGTTAGGAGCATAAGCCACTGATTTACTGCAATCTTGAGTGACCGATGGTCAGAGATGGTGGTCTGAAATGCTGTCAGTTCCGCTTATCTGGACTAAAGAAAGATGTTGTCTTGATGGCTGTGAGTATTTCTGAAATGTTACTGGTGAGCCAAAGAGGGCAGCCGTATACTGAGTTAAGCAGGGCTTCTTTAAGCGTGTTGTTTTGGTGTCCAAAAGACAAGTTGGAAACATGACCTGTGGTGAGGTGCAACAGCAAAGGAGGGAATTGTTTTCTGAGCATTGATATGTAGAGATTTGTTTGGCTTCATTTGAAAAAAAAACAATTATATATATGGTTGTTTTTCACTGCAGATATATTTTACTTGTGGAGAGACACAGTAGATTAGGCTGTGGTTTGTCTATTCTTTTTCTAAAATGGAAGCCCAAAATAAATGAAGTCTTGGAACTACTTTTCTTAACCCCTGCTGAGATAGCCCTGTAGATGTCAGTTATTAAAGCTGGATCAGGGACTGTCCATACCTTTTTACCTTGAAAAAACAGAAATTCTGCTTCTGATCTTTTCAAGCAGTTCACTTACCCACTGTAAATGAAAAAAATCCATCAGTGAAAACTTTTGGTTCAGAACACACTAGGCCTAGTAAAATTGCATTTTCATTCTTTGACACTGATTTATTGAAGACTCACCTATGCAATCCTGGGATGCTCTCACGGCAAGTGCCACAACTGTGGTAAACTACAGCAACTGAGGGCAAACTGGTAACTGTGCTGTGCAGCCCTTTCCCTGACATGAATTCCACAGTCTCCAGGTCAAAGCCACACTCACTGCACTGGGGAGAAGTCTCCCATTGGCTTGTGATGGGCAGCAAGGACCAAAGTTCCTCCCCATTTCCCATCCTCTTCCTCACTAAGCCATCACTGCAGCCAGGACTATGCAGTCCTGGATCTTCACCCTCTTATTCTTCACCTCCAGGAAGGAGGCGCCTCCAGTTTCAGGGAGCAGTTGTGTCCTTTGGGCTCCTTTTCATGCATTTTCTCATCTGTTCTCTGGTGTACAATGTAGCTTACTTCACCAAGTGAGGTTGTTTGAGTACCACTCAGAGAAATTTACCCATTATTTACCCATTATAATCTTCCTGGAGTGATACCTCCTGCTGACTTTTCTCCCTTGCTGCTCCCTATTGCATATCACTATGAAATGATCAAGCTTCAAGTGACCATAGGGCTTAAGGTGTCTTCTAGGTCCCTTGAACCAACTGAACTCCAGCCTAAGACTTCCCCCCAACATGGCTGAGTTCTCCTCCAGCACACCAGGTGGCAATGGCACACACTCAGCGTGGTGCAGTTTTGTGAGCTCATGGGAATTCAAAGTCTTGGCTGGATAGGAACATTTGTTAGACTTTTTTTTTTTTAAATAATGTTTATGGCAGATAATTATATACACTTCAAACAAGATTCTCCTCGGTATTAAAGCATCATTTATCAAAGCTGAGAGTGGATCAGATGTTGGTTTCCAGAGAATTATAGGAACATAAGCACTTCTGAGAAAAAAGCATCATTGTTCCTCTTAACTTCAAGAACCTCTTAGATATTAAGTACCTTAACCGAGTGGAGGTTTAAACTGGCCTTTCGTTTTGCACTGAAAAGCATTTCATAGGCTGCATACGGGAACATGCCATCTTTTGTATATATAAGGATATGCCTTGTCATTCAGATGTTTGAAATGCTGTTATCATTGCTGTTTTAACATAACATTTGCCTGCTGTCTGTGGTATCTCATTCCTATAATATTTATAGGGACAATGTAGTTATTCTAAAGCATTTAGATGCATTTAAATATTGAAATTGAATCTGTAAGTGAACCTACAGCAAAGAAGGCTGAATTTGTGCTTCATTGGTCATGCACTCTAAGCACCAAATGTGCCATGGAAAATGGAATATTTTATTTTTCTTTCAGATATTTGGGGCCCCATCTTTTGATGATAAAATCTTAGAAGTTGTGGCAGTATTTGGCAGCATGCAGATGGCGGTTTCAAGAGTTATCAAACTGCAGCACCACCGGATAGCTCAGGTCTGTTTCTTGATGGAAAGCACATGACTTAGTTGGCATCAGTTTGGGATGCTGGAGAGTGGTGGTACTCTAGATGACCACTGCCCTATACATTAATAAAGCACTGACATTGTTTTAATGTTAACGGGTAACAAATTGTCTTAAATGATGGATGAAGTATAAAAGCGCTTCACCCTTGAGGCAAATCTGGAGGGAAGCCACAGCTCCTAGTAATCAACATATTTCAGGTGGTCCGTCAGTTTGATTAATATTTATTGCTCTGTAAAATAACATGTTTGTTCTTTTCCAGTGTCGGTCAGTAAAGATCACCATACTTGGTGATGAAGGGGTTCCAGTGCAAGTCGATGGAGAGGCATGGATCCAGCCCCCGGGAGTTATTAAAATTGTACATAAAAACAGAGCTCAGATGCTAACACGAGACAGAGTACTGTTGAAGAAAGCATGTTATAAGATACCTTTGCTAAAATTGTTTTCGGTAGTAATTCGATTTAGTTATAATAGGAAAAAATAGTGCTTACAAAAATGTTTTATAACTATTTATATTACTTAAATAATTACTTGCAGTTATCTAATTTCTGTAATGAGCAGGATAGAGAAGTGTTCTTTTGCTACAAGTGACACAGCTCTTTACTAGTTCTTTTCAGTTACATTAGTGCTATTCCCATGTTCTTATTTAATATATTCTAAGAGGAAGAATGCTCAATTTTTTATTTTTTAATTTTTATTTTTTGAGTCACTAAATTTATACACAGTCATATACTGGAAATGTTAACAAGTTGCAGAAATAGTGAAGTTCTATAATGTCTATTTTTCAGCATAATTTCTGCAGATTTCTCTCATCTCTGTGTCCCACTAATTCTCCATCTTCCACATGACACAGTCTCAGAAAGAAGAGACACAAGCAGACTCTAGTCACAAAACCACTACAGAGTTCATGCTTATCTAGGATTACTGTGCAAAAGGCTTTATTGTGCCTCAGTTCTCTGTCCACTAGCTGGATGTTGAATCTAGTGTGGAATTAATAGCATTGAAATTGTATTTTATTAAATTTGTTAACTTTTTTTCTGCCATTTGTTTAGGTTTGATATTTCTATTACTTTGAGATTTGGATCCTACTGTCCTCACAAAATATGCTTACATTATTCTTGCCTTCATATTCTTACAATTTTGGAAGACATTTGATGAGAATAACAGGGAGAGAGATATCTTTCAGAACTGGATAATTATCTTTATTTTATATAGAATCAGATTATTCTCTATACTAAGTTTTAAACAAATAAATGTCACTTCATTATTTAGAGACCTAATACTACTTATATTAAATTGTGTGTCATTCCATAAGCTTTTACGTATATCGACAAAAATACCACAAGTGCTGTAAACTGACTGTATAATTCATTTTGATCAGGCCTTTGAAAACACCCTGAAGTCTTGGGAAGACAAACAGAAGTATGATTCCTGCAAACCTGTCATTCGATCTCCCTTGTACCCTCAACAGGCTGAGTTGGCTACAGAAGAAGAAGTCACTCAGATACAGCTCTGTTCACAAGCTGCAGAAGAACTTATTACCAGGTACAATAGAATTAGTAAGTTTGGATTGGTAACCTATACACCAAGACTGAATTATTCATGCAAGTGCATACATAGATTTAGTAGTGTGTATTTTCACAGAATCATAGAATGGCTTAGGTTGGAAGGGACCTTAAATACCATCTAATTCCACCCTCCTGCCATAGGCAGGGACACCTCCCACCAGACCAGGTTGCCCAAAGCCCCATCCAACCTGGCCTTGAACACCTCCAGGGATGGGGCATCCACAGGTTCTCTGGGCAACCTGTGCCAGCACCTCACCACCCTCTGAATGAATAATTTCCTCCTAACAGCTGATTTAAATCTCCCCTCTTGTAGTTTAAAGCTATTCCCCCTTGTCCTATCATTATCTGCCTGAGTAAATATATGCTCTCCATCTTTTTTTACGAGCCCCCTTGAAGTACTGAAAGACCACTGTGCGTTCTCCCCAGAGCCCTCTCTTCTTCAGGCTGAACATCCCCAGCTCTCTCAGCCTGTCTTGATAGGAGAAAAGTAATCAAAAGTAATTCTTGGAGTCCCTGTTTAGTAGCACTGATAATATAAAAAAGGAATCAAAGAACTACATATTTGTAGTTCTTCAATAGTTTTTGTATTGTTCTGGTGACTTAAGTAGACATAGAAAGATGATTTAGATTATAGTTTACCTCAAGGGAAATTTAGCCAAGACAGTTTAAAAACTTCTTTGCTGTTAAACAGATAGTCCTGAGGTTGTAATTATGTTGAACTTCAAATAATCTGTAATGATTGCAGCCAATTTTAATGTCATGTCTAAAGGAGTTCTTAAGCTTTTTGTTATATGCTTTGTGGAATATATTTAATATTTTTTAAGATAATTTCAGATGAGTTATCTTAATATGTGAGAGTTTTCCTTTCTGGTTTATTTGAGTTAATAGCCCCACATTTTTTTTTGGTCCAAGTCTTGCATAGCATTTGTGTTCTAAGACAGATAAATGCATCTCTATTTCATAGCAGAATAAATCTTCTGTATTATAGATATCATTTATATGAGGTTCTGTGTTGCTTGAAGTGATGCTTATATTAGAACTTTCGTTATAAAAGACTACATTTCTTACATGTTTTGTGAACTTTTTATATTTTCTCACATGATAATATTGTGTACTCTTAAAAATTACTCTTTATAGGAGGTAAGAAATATTTTTCTCTTCTTCCTATTTTTGTAGAATCTGTGAAGCAGCAAAAATACATGGCCTCTTGGAGCAAGAGCTTGCTCATGCTGTTAATGCATGTTCACATGCATTAAATAAAGCCAACCCAAGGTTTCCTGAGGTAAAGGAAGAACAGACATTTATGTATAAGTAAATACATTATAATATCTGTGGGCATAAAACGTTGTGACACAGGATCCGTGCTCTCCCTGCTCCCATATTGCAACAAGTTGGGTGATAATTCTTAAAGTTTTTATGAACAAGACTCTTAGATATACATACACATACTCAAGTTTAAAATGAAATTGCTTAACAGGTGAACAGAGCTGTATTGACTCCCCTTTTTTGTCACTTTTTCCTAAGGTGAAAATAAAGGGAAAGTTACTTCCAATTCTGAAGGTGCTGGTCTGCAGGAAGTCTTAGCTCTTCACATGCTTAAGGAAACACCCCATAGCTGATAAATTTGGGAGAGATAATGCTCAAAGATTCTGAAATTTCATATTAGTACTGGGAATATGAGTTAGAAAAACTGTCTTCCTACGGAAGAGGGAGAAAAGTCCCCCCCAATCATAGATCAATGTGACATCTGAGAAAACAGATGTAGTTTCTGCATTCATCATTGTCCTCCCCAGTTGATGTTCCCTTCTGTGATTACTGGGTGTTGGAAAGGGACATTAATGACTGAATATGTGGAATATCTGAGTTTTGTTGTGGTGTGGGAGTAACCAAAAGGAAGATTGAATGAGGGGCATGGTGAAAGTATGTCTGTTGTCTTTTGGAAGAAGTCAAGAATTCACTCCATCTAAAGTGGAAATCCACAGCCAGGGGCATTCATCCTGAAGTGATGCAGCAGCATGTATATTAGTCAAGCAAGATGGTGTGCTCTTGTAGTTCTGAGCACAAGTAAATCAAGCTCATGTCAGCAAGTAGCAAAAACAATAGCCAAATTAAGCTGACATCAGCAGACAACAGTGTAGGCATATCTCCAGACACAGAGTACAGGCATGATGAAGGCTCAACAAATGATATTACTACACACAAGTCAATTCTTGTGAATGTGTTCATAGAAATTTTCACACTTAATTGTTTATCCAAACGTTATGCAGAGAATACAGAGAGGGGAGAAAGGCAACTAAGTCTCTCTTTGCACTAGGCAATCTGTGTGTTTGCAGGGGTTGGACCCAAAGATTATTAATTAGGTAGAGTCTATTTATGTAATTTTAACTGACCTAAGCTTATCTGTGGTAAATATGTTAGTTAACCTGTGCTCCTTAAAGTATGACTAGCAGTTTACTTCTGCTAAGATAAAGGTGAATGATTTGTGTCAATGATCTGTTAAAAGAGGCCCACAGCTTCTCTGTTGGCCTTTGCCATCCATAAAAGTCATGGATTCTTCTCACAGGTGTCTTATCACTGGACCTTTGGGATTGTATAAGGTCATATTAAATAAAGTGGGGGAAAAGACAGTAAATAAATAGTATATTTTTCTTTTTTGTGATCTCAGTGTTGAAGAAGTTTTCAATGTAGAGCTAAATTGATGTATTTATCCTAGAAGCATACACAGTATATGCTGTAAGCCCAAAGTGCTTATTCTCAGACCAACTAGCATCCCATCAAATAATTTTTATGCTTCTTATTCCCCAGAGTCTTACCAGAAACACTGCCATGGAGATAGCTGTCAATGTGAAGGCCTTACATAATGAAACTGAATCCCTGCTAGTAGGAAGAGTTCCTTTGGTAAGGTGACAAAATGTTATTTTATTCCCTCATACTTGATGTGATCCGTTCTTTGATCTAGCATACTAACACGGAATTTAAGATGTGTTATAAGCAGCTCTGTAAGGCCAGATGGAAGATAGTACACTGCATTTGTGGCTGGAAGCAGAATATACCAATTTGTCTGAGTTCAGGTGTGAAACATATTGGGGCAGGTTTGGATACCTCTTTACATGTGAAAATGGTACAAGTCCATTCTACAGTAACAAGGGCTAATATATGGCCTAAAGGCTAATAACCACTTAAGTTCTAGAAATAGAATAGAATAGGTTAATTGGAAGGGACCTACAAAGATCACAAAGTCCAACTGCCTGACCACTTCAGGGCTAACTGAGATTTAAAGCATGTTATTAAGGGCATTATCCAAATGGTTCTTGAACACTGGCAGGCATGGGACATTAACTGCCTTTCTAGGAAGCCTGTTCCAGTGTCTGACCACCCTCACGGTAAAGAAATATTTCCTAATGTCCAGTCTGAACCTCCCCAGTGCAGCTTTGTGCTGTTCCCACATGTTCTATCGTTGGTTACTGGAGAGAAGAGATGGTCAGCTCTCTCTCCACCTCCCCTCCTCAGGAAGTTGTTAGGGAGCAATAAGGTTGCCTCCTAGCCTCTTGTTCTCCAGAGTAGACACCTCAGGTGTCCTCGGCCTCTCCTCACAGCTAATGCCTTCCAGCCCTATTACCTATTGCCTATTGTTGCCCTCCTTTGGACATTCAAGGAACCTAACACTCTTTTTACATTGTGTAGCCCAGAACTGCACACAATATTGAAGGGGAGGCTGTGCCAATGCTAATTACTGTGGGATAATCACCTCTTTTGACCAGTTTTGCCCTCCTGGTTTGCCAGGGCACACTGCTGGCTTGTGTTAAGCCAACTGGCGACCAGCAACCCCAGCTCCATTTCTGCACAACTACTTTCCTAGCCACTCATCTCCCAGTCTGTGCCTATGTCCAGCATTAGTCTGTCCCTGGTGCAGAATCTCACATTTTCCAATCATAGAATCATTAGGGTTGGAAAAGACCTCCAAGATCATCTGGATCGTCTTCCTACTTTGCCAAACGATGCCGTTGATGATTGTACAATGTTCCAGTCTGTCTAGATCCCTCTGCAAGGTCTCCTGTCTGTCCAGAGAGTCAAGAGCACCTCCTCATTTAATAAAATAGTTAAAGATTAGGCTTATATGATCTATTTTATGAAGTTTTAAAAGGGAAAAATATTCATTAATTGCTTTTGTTCAAGACATGGGAAAAATACCTACTGGCGGTTTTTTTTTTCTTTTTTTTTTTTTCCCTCCAGATGGTTATTACTAATCCCCCATTTGAGGTTGAGTGAGGCATTGATAGAGAAAATTGTTTAATTTTTAAAATAGTTTGGGAAGAGGAATTAGAGGAAAAGGTTTACGTTGCTGATGCAATACTAGGACTAGTGTAATTTATCAAGGCAATCTAGGCATAATGTTATTATGGAAACTTTCCAACTGAAACATTACCTCTCATTGTGCTCTCATTGTGTCGTTGAGCTGATCCAGTGTTCAAACTCCTAAACTTAATTTGATTCATTTGTCTGTGTCTGATTTTTGCATATTTTATTTCTGTTTCTCATTATGGTCTATGCATACGTCTTCATGGGTCTACATAAAATATATTTATTTAATAAAAAGGTTGTTTGGAAGTTACCTAGGTATCTTCCAGAAATATGCATTACACTCATTTGACAGCATTCTTTTATTTCATTACTTTTCTTACTCAGAATAGTATTCCACAGTTACAATAACAAGGCACCATTGCAGCCTTATTGGCACATATTTTATAAATGCAAAAGCTACATGTATGTTGGTTCCTCACTTTGATTAGAAACAGATGAAGTGTAAGGTGTTGCTTGATCTGTCTTCTGCTGTTCTATCAAACACTGTTCTCCAGTCTTTCTCCCGTGACAAAGATAGACACTTTCTTTAATATCTTACTTTTTTTTTTTTTTTTTTTTTTTTTCAATAATCCCCCACCCTCTCATCTGTGATCAAAGCTCCCTGTAGCTGTCAATTGATGCCTCCCTTGCATATGCTACTTGGTAAGCTTTTTCTCTGGATGCTGTTTACCAGCTCTGAGAATTTCCATTATAAGGAGACAAGAAATGTAAATGCATATACAAGGAGACTGATTCTTGCCACCTCCTGTAAGATAACATTAACCAATTTCATATGACAGTATTGGCTGGGTGACATCCAAGGGTGAATTAGATATAAATACCATTTTTAGGTAAATGAAAAGATGGGACAACGAAGCTGATTTGTGAATCTCACAGGTAGTTATGGCTGGAATACGGTTTGGAAAAAAAAAAAAAGAAATGTAGTTATGTTTTGTCCAGATATTTACAAATAATTAGAATGGCTTGGGTTGGAAGGGACCTTAAAGATCATCTAGTTCCAACCCCTCTACCATGATGGGGATACCACCCACGACATTAGGTTGACCAGAGTCTTATTGAACTTGGCCTTAAGCAATTTCAGGGATGGGGTATCCACAACTTCTCTGGACAACGTGTTCTAGTGCCTCACCATCCCCTGAGTGAAGACTTTCCTCCTAACATCTAATCTAAATCTCCCATCTTTTCATTTAAAACCATTCCCCCTTTTCCTGTCATTGTCTGCCTGTCACCCATGTGATAAAGATACTAAAAAGCACCAGTCCTAAGACAGCCCCCTGAGGGATACCACTCATCACTGGCCTCCACCTGGGCATTGAGCTGTTGACTGCATCTCTGACTACAGCCATTCAGCCTATTCCTTGTCCACCCTTCAAATCCATATCTCACCAATTTAGAGAAAAGGATGTCGTATTGGTACCGGGTCAAAGACTTTAAAGAACTCCAGGTAGATGAACGCACTGTTTCACTTTTTACTTTTTCAAAAGCATTTCCAATTTGGAACAGAGCACTATTTTACATTATACTAAGGGATAAGTACAACATTCATTTCAGTTGAATGAAAGGATCTGAACTCACTGAAATCAAATATCATCACATGAAAAATTTTATTTGGGAAGAAACTGAAAAATCCTTTACTTTAAACATCTAAAACATCTTTAAACATCTTTAAACTTGAATATAAGAAGCTTTTCCTAGCAGGAGAATTTACCCTAAATTTGATGACTCCTTTACCAGAATTGCACTGTAGGTTGTTTTTATTTATTTATTTATTTATTTATTTATTGAGTAATATTTCTAATGAATAAACTTTCTCACCATCAACTGAGAGTTTCTTGGCCCTAAGCAAAACATTTCCCTTTGAGAATCAAGCAATTAGATAAGTGCTTATTGAGAGAGAGCTTCAGTCATTTATATAAAAATACAAGACTTCATAAACAATTTTTAAAAATGAAAACACAAAATTTGTAACTTCTTCAAAGACAAATGGATCATCCTCAAAATTATCTAAACATTCAAGTTGAAAAAAATGTAAGGCAAAAGAAAGATCAGTCTGCTTATAGGGATTGAATTCTCTCCCTGAGTTCTGTGGACTTTAGAAGAAAAAAGAACACCGTAGCAAGAAGGAGCTAATATTTCCAATATAACTATACTAAAGAGTGATATCTTACTAATGATGGTCTCTGCTCTGAAAAGTGGTAATATATGCAAACTATTGAAGAAAAAAGTTTCTGTTAGGTAGGATAAATTAGTGGGGACTTGTAATTTATCTCCAAAAACCTAAGAAGTCAAAATCTTTTTCCAGCACTGGAGATCAAAGATGCTCTTAAAAATCCATTTTAAAAAAGGATTCGTTTGTACATAACTTCATTAGATCTTTTCAAAAAGATATTCTGAACTGCTTTGGGCCTACTTTTACTTCAAAGAGAAAAATGGATGTTCAGATTGCTTACTCAGTGATTCCAAGCAACTTGTTCCAGTATTCAACGCTTTATCTCAAAATGGGGCTTCAGCAACCCCAGATAAGCCCAAAACAGCTTTGTGTTTGATGAGCTGTTTGCCTTACCCTTTCCACACAAATTTCACTTACACAACAGCTGCAGAATGTGGTTTTCTGACCGAGATTCAGAGGAAAACTGATATATCCATAGGATTCTCAAAGTGCTTGATAGAGCGAAATTCCTATAGGTCAGTAAGTCCCAAGCTTTTTATACTTTCATTTCCTCTTTGGCCTTCACTTTGGCTTTTTGTCTCCCCTTGGTAGGCTACAGTCCCGTCCCCTTCCATGCCTGTTGCCAGTTCTTTCACACCTTTAGCCAGCAGTAGTAGGCTGAAGTGGCTCCATGTCTAACCTATTAAGAAGGGATAGTTCAGATCTCATATCACCAGTGGAATGCCTTTGCGAATGGGATGTCTTTGGGAATGGAATGCCTTGGAAATCCATTCCATGAGATTCTTGAGTGTCTTAGAGATCCATGGCACAAGATCCATTTCCTTTTACTTGACCACATAAGAGTGTTCTATCATATGAAGAAATCTACAAATAATAACTTGGGCTTACTACCATCTACTCATTTTTTATTTTTTTTTAACATCACGTTTCATACAAAGACTTTCCAGGCTATTGTCCTTCTGGTCAGCTTTTTACTCCTTTGTGCTAGAAGCTACCATTTCCAATGTTGTGTTCTGGTGTCGGTGTTATCAGATAACTTTTGTTCTGTGAAGACTCACGAGCGTGGCAAATGGGTCTATACTAAATGTAGCATCAGGGTGGTCTGAAATGCCTCTGAAGGAAAATTTAAGTTGATAAGACATGTTTTCACGTTTTTCTTTTACATTTGCTGCAATGTAGTCATCTGTTTGTGTGTAGTAACAACATATTCTGATATAAAAAGTTATATGGTAACAAATCTTAAAGTACTATTTTCTGGCCTATTTATAAACAGCAGTTAGAAGCTCCCCATGAAGAGCTGCTGTCTGATGCTTTGCACAGCGTGGAGACAGAGTTGAGAAAACTTGCTGAGATACCTTGGCTTTATTATGTGTTTCAACCTAATGATGATGAGGTGAGTTTGATTAATAACTTTCTGTTTCTAATTAAACTTTATTTTTAAGAGTAAGTTAGACTCATAATGTGGAGAGGCAATTTCAGTAATGATGCTAGATCATTTCTGTCTTCTGTGAGCAAGCTCAGAGCTTAGGGCATTTTTTTTGTATTCTGCTCCCTCTTATGAACTGAAAAGGCTTCAAATGGTTATTTAGCAAATGAAACTAGTATGGAGTTAAATCCTTACATAATTCTTTGCAGAAGTAAAACCATCTCAAGTATGTAATTTAAGCGTTGTTTTCTGTTAATTAAAGGTAACTATGTTTTTCTTTCATCCAGGATCCTCCTTTGGATTATGCTAAAAGAAACAACAGAAGTACAGTGTTTCGCATAGTGCCAAAGTTTAAAAAAGAAAAAATTCAGAAGCATAAGACCAGCCCTCAGCCTGGTATGTGTTTTGAAATTACAAGAAAAATAATAACATTTGGGGAAAATGTGATTTTGTGTTTGTCTGTGGGTTGGTTGTTTTTTTTTTGTTTGTTTGTTTCATATTTTTAGTAAGAGTTGAAATTATGTGCTATACCTAAGCGTAAAGTCCTGACCCTGATAAATTGAGAGGCAACTGAACTAACTGGCATCTTTATTAGGATGAACATTCCTTCAATGCATTTAGAAAGTATTCAGTAGGACCCCATGACTTCCAGGTGAACCAAAGAACTACTGCAAAAATATTTAGATAGCTACTGTTTTATCATGAAACAGGACCCATGTCATTGCTGGTGGTTGCAGTTGATTAACTCGTAGCAATATAAGCCATATGTAGACCCACAATTTCCCTGTGAAGCTCCAATTCAGGTTATTCAGGTTAGTTTCAGGAGCTGTGCAATACCTTTATCACACTGGTTTATTAACCAGTTAGTCTTAAATTTCAGGTGGTTTTCAAGTTCAGCGATTTAGGCAAGTCAAACAAAAAGCCATGATAGTCAATATTGATCTTTTAATTAGTAGAATTTGAACAAACTCCACTCTCCTCTCTTCCCACCATTATCCATGAAGTTACTTCCTTAATATTATGTCCAGGAGTTAATCAGTGATCAGATGGCCCTAAAACTGTTCTTACATCTTTGTGTTTTTAATGTTTTTAATCTGCAAAATTTTGCCATTGTTGACTAGACTTTAGTTTCAGATTAGACTTCAGATTGACTTCACTTTAAAACTAAAGCAGCATTGAACAAAGTTGCAAAATTATAGTAATAAGTAGCATAGCTTTTTTTTCTTTTCAATAAATGTGCTTTTATTAGGACTAATGTGGGCAACTAACCTTAGAGAACAATGTTTTACAGAGAGCTTATTAATGACCCATGTAACACAATAGTTTAAAGAATACTTGTAGCATTAATTAATACTAGAAATTGTTAATTAAAACTGGACTTGCTTGCTGCCATTGCTGTATCTGAGGTATAGTTTATATATTAATTTTACATGTTGATTAGTTTTGAAGGCTTCTCCTCTTCCTGGATGACTACTAATAAATTAATGGTATAAAGCAGAACATTAGACTTTGCGTCACTGATCCTAAGATTGTTTAATGCGAATTTGTTGGGACATGAGGTTTTAAAGGCTTTACTGAAGAAACTGTAGTAAAGCTGAAAGCATGGCTGCAAAGCAAAGAACCCCAACTTTGTTTAGATACTTTCTCATGTTAACTGCTAACCTGTAACCTGCATGTATAAAGGAAATTGTCGTTTTTTCTGGAAATGACACCTCTAACCTTTCCCTTTGCTAGCACGGCAATTCTACTCTGTTTTCCACTCTCTTTGGCCTAACCTTTGCTTGTAATGCATTTGAGCATGTAGAAATTAAGGGGGTTTTGCTCTTAACTTTGGTAGTTCAAAAATGGGGCACAGATGAAGTTGCTGCTTGGCTGGATCTGCTCAGTTTGGGAGAGTACAAAGAAATCTTCATCAGCCATGACATCCGAGGCTCTGAGCTTTTACATCTGGAAAGGCGAGATCTTAAGGTATTTCCTTTGTGCTACTTTTCTGCTATTGACCATTTTCTTTGACAAAACAACAACCAACTTTTCTTCTTTCCCTGCACTTGTTATGTGCTTGTAGCTTGGCTTACACTGTGCAAATATGCAATAAACTAATATGCGCTGTCCTTTGGCCTGAATTTCTTAAGTGCTGAATTGTACTCGCTACCAAGAATATATGTGTTATCAGAAATTTCCTTTTTTGCACCTTATGTAGAATGATAGCATTATAGTTTATGTCAGAAGGCATAGGAAAAGCATGTTTGATATCTTACTGACATCAGCGTAATATAATGTTATCTTCAAGAGATCGCTGTTTCCATTAAACAGGATCAGTGTGGATCAGTTTATTAAGCTGGTGATAATAATCTTGAATATATCTCCCACGAGGTCAGCAGCTGCAAGCAGCTCACCTGCTTCCAGTGATCTGTTGTACATATACTGGATAAAGTTGATGTGAGAGAGATGAGCAGCTTAATAAACTGTGGTGTTGGACTTGAATGGTATTGGTGTTTTTATGTCAAAGTAGACTTTCGCAGGAGATTTTCTCATCCCCAGCCGATCTCTGCCTGATTTTAACTATATAGGACTTAAAAAAGAACACTTTATTTTGTCTTTCTGACTGTCTCAAATATCCTAAAACTTCCTTCCTCTGAGTTCAGATTGGTAAGTTTTGCAGGGAGAAATGTTACGTAGCAGTCTGAGGCTGTTATTTGAGCTTGCTGGTCTTTTTCAAGAATGACTTAAGTGCATCCATTATATGTAATAGAGGCTACATCTTTGGGGATTCATTACATTAGTTTTTCCAGGAACTCAGTAGTAATGAGTTCTTGATAATGTGTTTTGCAACTGCTTTTAGCACGTAAGAGAGGAAATAGGATATTATATAAATTGCAAACATTTATGTTTAGAGTGCAAGTCATTGCTGTAGTCACAGTGCAGTAGTCTCCTGATATGGGCAATACTTTCATATACATGTGACATTTTTCATAAAGTTTCTTACGTAGTTTGAAATCCTGACACTATAATGTAGTGCTTACGTTGTGTGACTTTTGCAGTAGACTGTAGCTGCTCAAGATAGTTGCATCTGATAGGATGACTTTAGCTGTTGCCTGTTATTTTACCCTTTGATATTAGATCACCTAAGCTTCTCTCCATGGAAGTTAAATCCCTTTCTTTCAGGATAGTACAGTCCCTCCATGAACAAAACAGCCCAAGCAACCCACCACAATGATCCAATGATGATTACAAGTTCTTTTTCTCAATGGTCACTGAACAAATGTAAAGCTTGACTGGGAGATTCTGCAAAATACAATGCAAAGTTAATAAACTTAATAAAAACGAGATATCAAATTTGTTGGGATAAGTAGAATGGTTCAGCTGAAAAGGACCTACAAAGATCATGAAGTTCAACTGCCAGAAATGGTGGGTAAGACCATCGTCAAACTAGGCATGGTTTCAGGCCCCTAATGGGTACCAATCTGACTACATATGCAGAAGACTGGCACTTCAACCAAGTAAATAACAGCAGCAGAGTAATCATCAACCTGTTCTCTCTGTTACTAAGGCAGATGAGGATTCAGCCTAAATGAAACCCCATCACAAAGGCTAACACCCTGAAATTTGTGTCTTAGAGTCTACACAGAGAAAGACTTCTACAGTCTTGAATAATTTAAGCAGGATTTAAGTTGCTGTGCATACCTTGGCAAGTGGAAGTCTTGCACTAAAATTGTCCCTTCTGCTTGTTATCAGAGCTGGAAACTTCCAAAGTAGTACTTTTTGTAAGGTAGGCCAAGCTTTTGGCCAAGCATGGCTTGCACTCTGTGGAGCAACACTAAATTTAAATAGCAGAGTTGAGCACTCATCTTGCTCATTACATCTGGGGCCTGCAGGTAGCTAATTAAGGGTGTCTCAGGGACCCTGCAGTTTTCTGCCCAGTGACCTGAGCTGGTGTCAAGATGTATAATGTGATACCTAGAAAATGAGGAACATATCACAAGCTGCCCTGCTAATTTGTCCTCTGTTTGGCTATTGAGATGTGCAGATGAGTCTTCAGTGCTGCTGTGAATGATAGTCTGTCTACAGCTTCTCCTCCCATGCAAGGCTTGTGCTTCCTGCCAAACTAAATGGCATAGTCATTGATTCACAGTCTCTTAATCCATGTGCTGTAGTTACCTCTATGACCTCTCAGGTGTACAACAGGAAAAATAGTTGCCCATTTTCAGTTTTGTGATTCTCTGATTTTAATTGAATCCTCTGGGCCCGCTTTTCTATGGTCAAAAGTAGAGATAAAAAGCAGTAAGGAGAAGGTTTTGATGAAACTCACGCAGCACTCCAGAGGTGGGGCCTCACGAGGGCAGAGCAGAGGGGCACAATCCCCTCCCTGCCCTGCTGCCCACCCCTCTGGGGGTGCAGCCCAGGACGCAATTGGCCTGCTGGGCTGCAGGCACACACTGCTGGCTGCTACCCGGCTTTTTGGCCGCCACAACCCCAAATCCCTCTCTGCAGGGCTGCTCTCAGTGAGCTCTTCTCCCAGTCTGTGCTCATGGCTGGGATTGCCCTGACCAAGGTGCAGCACCTGGCACTTGCCGTTGTTGAGCCTCACTAGGTTCACATATGGTGAGTCAAGATCCCTGGAGGTCTTTAGAAGACATTTAGATGTAAAGCTTAGTGATATGGTTTAGTGAAGGACTTGTTAGTGTTAGGTCAGAGGTTGGACTAGATGATCTTGGAGGTCTCTTCCAACCTAGACGATTCTGTGATTCTGTATGCACGTAACATGGCAATAATTAGAACTGCAACACATTTGGTAGGACTAAGGTGACATCTCCTTAGAACTCCAGAGTAACCTTGGTTTCCTTGAAGGTTTTCCACATCTCTTGCCAGCTTAAGGAGGAGTGAGTGTTAAGCTGAAGTCTGTGCTGAGGACTGGCATTTCATCTCTGTCTTTGGTAGTAGTGCATTTTGGAAAAGTTCTTGTACAGAAATTGGTTTATAAGATTTGCTAGACTTCAGACATGCGTGATTTCTTTTGACACTGGGAACACAAGTAGGGTAGTTTTCTGATCTGGAAGATACAGGAATTTTTATATAAATTGCTTGGTTGTTTTACACTCTTGATACATTTTAGCAAAATCTGTGGGCAAACCTGGAATGAATGTATTGTTGGCTAAGCAGATGGGGCTAATCACAGTTGGGTAATGCAGATGAAGAACTCCTGAAAGTTGTTGCAAGAATTTTCATCAGCTTCTTCTTGTCCTATTTTATTTATTTATTTATTTTTTTGAGTCATATCTGCCAGAGGCATAAAAATGGTAAAGTTTGTAGGGAGAGCGTAAGGAGAGGTGACCCTGTAGTTTTAAGACCATAGCTGGGGAAAAAAGTCTGTTTTCTTCCTCAAACTCTGGCTAGAGTCTTGACTTCAAAGCTGAGATTTTGGAGATAATTTTGGGAATGATGCATGGTAGGCTGCTGTGGCAGACCCTTTTAGTCTGAGATGAGAGAACTTCTGCAAACGTTCCTGCATCAGTAGTAAACTGGGAATACTAGATAATATCTACTGCCAGGAACGTATAACATTAATTTCCTTCAATCCAAGCTGTTACACAAGCATCGATTTTTATTTATTTATTTATTTATTGTGTAGCAGGATTTAACAAAAGGGTCCCCAGAATTGCAATAAGTCTCTTAAGACTTGTTGGTCTCAGCTACGTTATAGCAATGTCACTCAGGATGGAATTGATACTAACATTTCTTGTCACTGTAATGTCGGAGCATTCATGATAATTTATAAAAGTTGCTGGGAAAAATGGCTAAGGTTTTTGGCAGTTTAATAATATTCTTTCTTTGTCATTTGCTTTCTGAAAAATCTGGAAGTTCTTAACCTTTAACACATGTGGTTTCTCATGGTTTGGAAAGTATCATACAGGTTTTTCTTTAGATAGAATTTCTGCCACAGAGCAACTGGGATATTTCAGTAGTTTCAATAGTCATGCATAATTTTGTTTAACTGGAAAATTAAGTTTGGCATAAGTAAGAAAAGGTTTTTCTACTCCAAATCTATAATGAAAATGGTTAATATCATTGTTGGATAATTTTAACCAGTTTGCCCACATCAAATCTCTTAACTTAAAAATTGGTATTACTTTTAATTTAATTTAATTTTATTTTAGCTTAGGTGACCACTCATTAGTGGAAACAAGATATAAATGGATGTGATGTGGAAAAATCTTTTTTTTTTTTTCTTCTGATAGGTTTATGAATAGCACTTGGTTTGGGGACTTCCTTGAGTACATCGTGAACTCTTTAAAGCTGACATATACATTCCAAAGTTCTGTAATGGATAGTGAAGTATTGTCGGTTTTCTACTAAAAAACAGCCCCCTCCCCCCCCCCCCCCTTTTTTTTTTAATAATTTCTGGCATAACGAGAATTCAATCTTGACTCTGAAAATTAATCCATCTGTTCAATCCATGCATTTACTCTGAAATAATTCATGCCCATCTTACCAACCTTCTTGTTTTGGAGAAATGCTAAATGAATTTCGTATTAACACTTTCAAATAATATGCAGTGCAGATTTTTTGAGGTTTCTGTGGCTGTAGAAAGGTAGATGTAGCCTTTGTGTAAAGTGTGCACAGAATGATATATATGGTTTCATTTTTCAATCTGTATAAAAATAAGTATTTCAAGCTGCTTAATTCCACTCTTTTCCATGTCTTCATAATGGAACATTTTCCTACTAAAATGAAAGGATTTTTATTCCAAAGGAATAGATAGTGAATTTTGCTAAGACTTTTATTTAATCACAATGTATTTATATAATGTTTATTTTACAAAGGACTACTATTTGAGTATGCCACTTGCTCAGCATGAACAACAACAAGGATTTTAGAGTTTTTTCAAAGCTGGATTTTACAGATAACAGAAGATTTCCACCAAACTGAGATGAAAATTCATTAGTGCAGTTGGGGATCATTAGCACAGCTGGGCATCCCATTCTGCTCCTCTGACCATTGGACCAGTAAAAATTGAAAAAGGATGTTGTTAAAGCTGTTATTAATGCTGGAAGAGTTTTGCTGCAAAAATTTATTGTCTGTTGTCACTCATACAGAGATGGGTTCAAAAAAAAACAATATTAGAAATATTTCAACTGATATGATTGCTTCAGTGGTGGCTACAAAGAGATTTGCATTTCTGCTTTTTATATTTTCCTTTGGGATGTGACTGTCATCTCTCTGAGAATATTTATCCCAGCTCTCTAGTTATCATGGATATCCACATTAGGAGACCTGAACCTTTTTAGAATGAAAACCAAATGCTTACGGTTTTCTATTGCTCTCTAAAGGGAAGTTGTCCTACATGCCTGTAGATGTCATTTCCACTTTCCGTGAAGAAACTGGGGATGTGTTGCTTGTTGATTAAGACAGGCATCATAGGGCCACAGATCAAGTGACATTGCTGGACAGCTCTAATCCATCACATCCTACTGAGCATTTGATTGCTGTATTAGAGAGGAGGGGGAGATTGTTCTTTTTCTTCAGAAACTGTGAAAGGATATGTACTTAGAAGTCAAGCAAAAGATGTTTTTGAAAGATATTGCAGTGCTTTGGGTTATGATTGTTGCAGGTAAGTATTTTTCCATCTGCCAGACAGAGATTCATTGTATGCTCTAAGCATTTGTTTTTGTTGGATTGTTTTTGTTAAGCAACACTTGCTAGTGCCATAGAATCTTTTCCAGTTAATGTTGATTGCAGTTAGCACATTTCTAGACATCTGTTGCATGGCTAGATCGTAATTGTTGACTTTGTTTCATTTTTGTAAATAAACTTTCTTCTTTTTCTTTTTTTCTCTCTCTCTCTTTTTTTTTTTTTTCTTATTAATTTCTGTAGGACCTGGGGATAACGAAAGTGGGTCATATGAAGCGAATTCTCCAGGGAATTAAAGAGCTCAGCAAGAACACCCCTTTGTCTGACGTGTAATTATGCTGGTACTCTCCTGAGAGAGAGAGGGAAAGTTGCTGGAGAAGCAGAGCTGTTGCAGGCACTTAGCTGTCTTTGTATACTGTATGGAAGAATAAGCACTGGTGTATTTGTACAGGCTAGTGTCTCTGAATGCTTGTATGGTGAAGAGCTTGTTGCAAGAGCATAAAAGGATTTGTGCCAAAAAAAAAAAAAAAAGGAAAAAAAAAGGAAAAAAGGAAAAACAGGAAAAGGTTACACGTTCCATGAAGGCATTTTCTTGGTGTTCAAATTTGGCCAGTTCAGATAAGCACATTTTGGTAAATCAGTTGGTTGACGGTGAACTGCACTGACTGGAAATATAACCGAGAAATGATCGCTTTGCTTACATGCAGCTCAGTATGCCTCTCTTTCCGACGCAGCAAGATGCCACCGTACAGCATGAGGTTGTCTGGTAGTCCTTTCCAGGCATGGCTTCCGTAAAACCTCCCGTGCAGGAGACTGAGAGGTGGCCGCTTTCGAGGTTCAACACGCGAGTCTAGCAGTGCCTCAGGTACCTCACGCTCACGGGCCACGCAGGACGGGGAAAGATACCTTGTTATACCATGAATGCAAACTATAATGCATGGTGTGCCTGCCTGAATTGTCTGTCGTTCCGTTGCATGACACTTCTGATACTTTAAACACTTGAACAACTTTTATATCGGTTTGAATGAGATTTAATTTATTACTACTTGAGTGTCCTTTTTTTGGTTTCAGGCACTTTTCTATTCTTCAGTGTTGTGTTATTCCTAAATGTGTTCTATGGCAAAGGATGTGTGGGTGTGGAAAATATAGCATTTGTGCCATATTCAGCAAATTATATGCATTATATATGATTGAAACACTGTACAGTTAGATTTTTAAATATACCATGTACAGAAGGTGTATCAGGTAACTAATTTATGAGTATTTTTGAAAGACCGGTACCTCACAAAAATATCAATTGGCTTCCTGCATGGAAAATTATAAAGAATTTTCTCATGGTGCATTTTAATGTAGTTATTCAGTTATCTTAAACATCTGTAGCTTATTTGAACTTGTATGAACTAATGGTTTTATTTATTCTATTGTTCTAAAAGCAGGTTGAAAGATTAATGAAAATTTTTATGGGAAAATTTAAAGTATTTATCATAAGGAAGAAAAGTGTTAAAATGTAGCATCTGATTTGATTTTTGTGGGGTAAAAGCTTTTACTCATTACTAATTTACTATTAATTTAAAAATTTCTATGTATGCATTTCTTTACAAAGGCATCAATTTGTTTCTTGTCAGCACTCCTACATCAGTAGATCATAAAAATAAATTAAAAAACTCTAAAGTTTTACACTATGCATGCAAAGATGAATCACGTGCAAGCCAATAATCTATGAGTGTAAACAGGTTAAAAAATGAAAACCATCTTTGTTTAGCAATTGCATTAGACTAGAGTTTATAAGGTTATTTAAAGTTTACTTAAACAAAACATAGCTTCATAATTGAATTTCCTGGTTAATTTCTCACAAAGTATTAATCCAGTAGAAAAATAATGTGCTTTATATTTTATATAAATATTAAATATATCTAGGGGTTAAGACACAAAAAAACTACTTAAATGTTTGAGATGAGATGATATTGCATCACATGCCAGAGAACTTGCCCAGAACCTGTCTCCTTGCTGTTCTGATCAACGTGGCATTCCCACCAGAGGAACACTTTGACTTAGGCTTCATCAAGTATATTTGTCAATTTTTACAGGTTAAGGAGTATGCTAATATGTATTTCTATTTTCCTAGTAGACAATAGAGTAAGGTTTCATTTGTTTGGTCAAAAGCTTTTCCCCATTTAAAGGGGACAACGTCAAGTACCGCATCCTGGTTTTGTCATCCTTTTCTCATGAGGATGATGGGAATCATCCCTTGGAAAATCAGATGTGTTCCCTTCATTGTTTTATCACCAGAGATGTTAAAAAGCAGTAAACCAGGCTTTGTTTATATCCAGTTATAGTACTATGTGCTCCAGCTGCTATAGGTTAAACTAGCACCACTCTGGCAGCTTTGTGGACATAATCGATTGTTCTGGTCAACAAACAAAAGTAAAGGGCTATGTTCCATTAGGTTTTCAGTAAAAAACAACACAAAAGCTGCTTGCCAAGTGACATTATTTTCATGCTGTTGTATTAAAAGCATATGTAAACAATGGAAAGTTATGCAAACAATGGAAAGATATATATTTTTAATGTACTTGACATTGACCCCTTTAATGATGTTCAGATGGCATCTGTCAAGTCTTCACAAGTTGTATTTCTTTTTTTCTCTCTCTCTTTTTTTTTTTTTTTTCCCTGTAAGCTGTGCTATATTTTAATGTGCAGCAGCATTCTAATATGTCAATGTTATGGTAGACTATGGAGTTAGTATTCCTGGTGAAGTCAAGGACGTAATTCATGAAAACTTTATTTGCTTTCCTGATTGTAGGATTCACTCTCTCCGCAACTTTCAGTCTTGCTATATGCAATGTGGTAAGATGGGCTATAGAGCAGGATGTCTTAAGTTAAGACAACACGATGATGGCTATAGAGGCCTAAATGAGTATATTAAAAAAACAGAGGTGCTTTTGGGCAGGGAGAATGACCAAGTTTTGTTTTGTAATGCGATTTTCTTATGACGCTCTTAGATTACCTCAGTATAGGACAACTTGTCTTTACAAAGTTCCATTTTTTTAAGTGACCACCAAAGAATTCAACTTTGATTGTCCTAAAGCAGAGGTTTTTTTTTAAATGTGCAAATAGAAAAAGTATTTTAAGCATTGGTTATGCTATTTTTAATAGCATGATCTGTATGCCCTGGGGAGCACGTTTTATGCAGCTCTATGCCTTAGAATAGTTTTGAATATCAATTCCAAATGCATTTGATAAGGAGGCTCAAAATATTTTATGGGATTTTGCTACCGAGGTCATGGGTTATAACAGTCTTCTGTGACGTGGCTTTTCTAAGGAAAGATTTTTGAACACAGTGTTAACTATCTCACAATTATTGCAGATTTCCAAGTATTGTTTTTTTCCTTAGTACTGTCAAAATCTCAGCTCCTAGAACTGAGGACATACATAGGATGTATGTTAGCAAAAAGAAATCTTTATAATTTAATCCTGACGTTTGAAGTGCTTTAAAGCATACTTCCTAATATTTCAATACAAATAAGATAAGCCAATTCCCTAGAAGTAGTTAATTTTCCAGAAAACTAGTTAATCCCAGTAGCTTTTGTGGAGCCTGCTTCAACATGCTAGATTCATGAAGACAAAAAAACACTGTATAGTGTTTACTGGATTAATTTTTCTTTTCCCAGTAGTGTGATATACTTAACCTGCATGGTCAGTCAGCATACCTTAAAATCTGTGAAGGCAATGCCAAGCAATCAACATTTTTTGAAGTGGATGGTATTCATGTAGATTAATGTGCTATGCTTCAGAAAGTGGAAGAGAAGGCTTTTAAATGACAGTAAATTGCTTAGCACGTGTTTATGTTTTGTGATTTTCAAGTAGATTTTTTTCCAGCTTGTGTTCAATTGTTGTAGCAGCCTCTGGTTTGGGTGATGCATGTATTGCCTTTGTAATACGTAACGCCTTTTTTTTAGAAACTGAATGAAGTCAGGCAAGCTCATGGTTTTATTTATTTTCTTACAGGACCTTAAAGAAAAAACTTGTTCAAAAATATTTTTTTTTACTATGATGGCAACTACAAATTTTCTTTATGATACCTTTTTGTGTATTTCTCCCTAACCATTATTTTTTCTCCTAAATACATCTTTCTTTCAAAAAAAATAATATTTTAAACCTCTGGAAGAACAGTAAAAGATAAAGCATGTGATCAAAAACCTTCCCAGACAATTTAAATGCAGTATTTCTTTCTTTGGGACTGGAGTAAATATCCTTGGTCCTATAAATAATAAATAGAAAACACCTTTCTTTCTCCATCCCCACCCAAAGAAATTCAGACTGTAATGTTTATAATTGTAATTTACGTAAGAGGAATTGATTTTTTTTTTATAATGGCCCATTTCATATATTTCCTTTTTTGTTGTTGGTGGTGGTTTTTGTTTGTTTGTTTTTGTAGAGAAATACAAAACCTGACAATTTTTACTTTTTAATTGAACTCAGTGATGTTTGTTCACTTAATGAAAATTCATTATGCCCTGATAATGCACAGATCTTGTTGCAAGGCTAAAATAATTAGTGTTTTTCATTGCATCTAGGCAGGAAACCTTCATATGTAATGGAAAAGTAATATTTAAACCAACTAGGAGAGGAAGTACAGCAGTGTTACTTTTAAAATAAATTTCAAACTACATGTTATACATAGATAATTTCACAAAGGACATATAAAAACAACAACACCAAATCCACAATGATTCCGTTTTGCCTGATGCTTGCTATTAATGATTGCATTACTAATATTTTCTCTGTTGTTCTATCTGTGCCCCTGAGTATTAAGTTCTTGAATACAAGTTTGAGAGTTGTGGTAACTAATAATTAGCAGTGTAAAGTGTATTTGTGAAAGTTAAAGTTGCAAGCAATGTATGTTGTTGAGGATAACTGAGCTGGAGCAATATATTTAGTGTACAACCAGGAAATCATCTTGTCACTTATGTCAGTGAGAGCCCCAGAAAATTGTATGAATTTTGCTTTTAGTTTTTCACCCCAACGTACCTCTTCACTGCAATGTCCTGAGTGTTGCATTTGTACCGTGGGCTCTCCCATTTTTTGATTGTTTTCATAGATTGTATGTTTCGTGGTATGAATTTCATATCATCAAGGTTTGATGCTGCTTATGCTAACTGCAAAGATTTGATGTTTGCAGGAACTGTACATGACTGTATTGCTGTCTTAGGTAAAAGGAGGAGTTTCTGATGACTCAAGGAAGCTGAAGAGTTTGGACAGGAGTTTAAACCTGTCTGCTGCCTCTTCAGAGCTGAATGATAGTGTCAGTAGGATTGATAAAGCATCATATGGTAATTATCAGTAGATGATCTTTACTGGTTGTATAAATTCGTGTATTTATATATAGAGCATAGTGTGGAACTTGATCTTTTCTATAAAAAGAAAAAAAAATTTTCTAGTTCTTTTCTACTACTGTTGCATTAGGTTTAATAGCTCTGTTAATGGTTAGCTTATGTACTTGAAATGCTCATTTCTGCCATACAGAAGCCCAGCCTGTTTCTCAGAAATTGTAATCCATTTGGAAACCATCTGGATTGTTCCAGGAGTATTCCTGCTGCCAGTTGGAGCTAATACCACCACTTGCAGTAACTTTTGTAGGCTTGAATTGATTGCCCATAATTTTATAACCAAAAAAATGCTTTTGAAAGGTGTTTTTTTTTTTTTTTTATAAATTATGTAGAACTAAACTCAAAACACAATCCTTTCATTATCTGTAAAAGTGTGTGGATATATATATATATATATATATGTAACATATGTATGTATGTATATATATTAGCACTGTTAACACTTCAGCAAACTAGCAAAATGCTGGCAATTACAGACCTGAGAGTATTTCTGGACAAACTGTAATGAATTTAGCTTCAGTGCTTAAAGAGCTACCACCTTCAGAGCAGCCAAGAGAAAATGCATATATTTACATGGTAGAACGATAAAAATCTCTCTCAAATAGTTGAAGACCTTGTTTCCCAGTTGACACACACTTTTTATGTAAGCATTTGGATGGGATTTTGAGTTCATATTCATGTAACCTTTTGCTTATATTAGCAAGGGCAGAAGAAGCTGGTGTGTAATTTGTATTTAACACAGGTCGTGTCTGTACTCGTGTTCCCACACTGCTTCCCAGCTCCTGTGCCTGGATAACTTCCCAGCTGCTTGGCAAGATGAGACCCACGCACATCTCCCCCAGTTTCCATTCAGAATAGCTGGACAGGCAGGCTAGGAAAGATCTGTAGGATGCTCCAGGAGGTCTCCTAACCAAGGCTTCAGGCCTCTAAGTCTCCTATAGCCATGGTAAGCTAAAATCCTCCAGGTTGTACTCTTGCAATTCCTGCCGAAAGCGTGATTTAGTTTGCCGTCTCGCTAACAATTAGCACTATCTACTTGAATGCCCTTTGAAAAAGAAGTGCTTGGGTAACTTCATCAACTGTGTCAGGTTTTTGAACCTACTAGAAATTATTATCGCTATTAGTAGAACAGGTATGCAAGTGACTATTCTACAGAACAAATACCTAGGAAAAATATTGTAGTATGATTGAAAGATTAGTGACAGGATTGAAAAGAAACTGAAAGTAAAATATGGTGCAAAGCTTAAAGCCATTTTATTTATTTATTTTTTAACAAAGACGTGCACAGTGCCCCAAATCCCTACTATGAACATCTGAAGGGAATTATCATTGTAAGTCCTACTTTTAATCAACTAGAAAAATAGGATTGGAAACTTTTTAGTTATTAATAACCTGACAATGACTGTAACAGGAAAAGGGTTATAGATAATACTATGTTTTTCTCCCTCCCTGCATTAGTTGCAGTAAGCTTGGCATGGGACTGCTTCTCATTGCAGCTGTGGTCAATTATTATGTGAATATAGAGGTTGAGGAAAACCCTTAGAAGCTGCTTGGTTTTGTCTCTTCTGTGAGGGAGAATACATGTGCTGACAAGATACGACACAGGGGGGTCTTAGTGAGATTTTTAAGATATCAGAGCTTCTTCTTGGATGATTTGTGAATGTTTATGATGAGTACATAGGTGTGGAGACACTCACCCAGAAGGTTTCCAGTGGCACTGTCCTCTCACGAGATGTCATCTCTCTCTATTGAAATAGGTATTTCAATATGCTTTAGGTTGTACCATAACTCACATACATATCAACTATCGTAATAAACAAATAGTGTCTTAAATACCAGTAAAATCCAGAATCTAAGTACGCACTTGCCTTATCGCTCTCCACTGATGGTTATTTTTTTCAGAATACATTCATTGGTATTCTTCGCTTGGGACGGGTAGAAAGTTTCTATAGGATGTCCAGAGCAGGTTATCTTTAAATCTGAATGTTATGGAATTGCTCTGGATGTTTTGGCATTTTCAAAAAGCTGATTTCTTCTAAGGGTATTTCAGAGGTGCTGAGAGAGGTCCTAGCACAACATGAGTGGTTTCTCTTATTGGCCAAGCTTGTCTCTTAGAGTAGTGTTCCAGCCAAGTCCAGTATTTAGTCAGTTCTGCAATAACATCCACTTACTTGCATGAATAAATGCATAAAGCACAGTGTAAATGTTGCTGGATGCATCTCATTCAGAGATGTGATACTATAGTTTTCTGCACAGCTCATATGTTTGGGTCTGAATGTATTTTGAAGCAAAAAGCTGAAATACACAATTTCTACATTTCGGCCTTTTTTTCTGCTTTCTCAATTAGGTGAAAATACCTAACATGGTTTGTACTGTTCTAGTCAGGTGGAAAAAAAATAAAAATCTCAGAATCAAAGGATAGTTTAGGTTGTAAAGGACCGGTGGAGATCATCTTGTTCAACCTGCATGCTCAGTAGCTTCTGCTGTTCGTTTCCCCTTGGTCATGCTTACCCCACAGGGAAATTCATTGCCTTTGCAAATATGCAGATTAAGGCCACAGACTGTTGGCACTTACACATGTGCTTGGCTTCAAACAGCACTTTAGTCCCCCCTCGAGATTGCTCGTGTACTTGAGTTTTAGCATTTACGTGTAAGCCTAGAAGAGATTTGGGTAGGTAGAAATTGTTCTTCACATGGAAGTCATCGTCAGACTGATCATTGGTAGACTGTTGAATGCCATACCTATGAATGTTGTTCTCTTGCCAGTATTTGCGTGTGCATGTGTGTATATATGCAGTACCTAGTTCGTAGTGTGTGTGCACACACACCTGTACATATATATGTATATATATGCCCTGGTTTTGCCCAATATAACGACGCCAACTTGTGTGTAGAGCCAAAACCTTAAATATATACAATGCTTGAGATGCTGCATTGTTTTTATTATAATATTTTTATATCAGATAAATTGCAGGATGTTTACAGATGCTTATTAATATTTAACTTATACAATGGAGTGGCAGGATGTTTATGATTGTTGTCAGCTAAAGAATTGTACAATATTCTGGGTGAAATTTTGGCTTTGTTGAAATCCTTGGCAAAACTCCTATTGATCTCACTGGGGCCAAGATTAAACCCCTCTGAATCTATTGTTTACTGGCTATTTTCCTACTGTGATTTTTTTTTTGAGTGACTGAAATGTATTTATTTATCCCAATGTGAAATCCGCAGTTGCTATTTGGATTTTTCTACAGAACCTGCAAGATACAACACAGGTGGGAATATATGCCTCATTGAATGTACAGACTTTTTTCATTGTTCTGGTCCTTGAATACGTCTAAGAAAATAGCTTCTAAAATAACTTTTGTAAGATTTAATATAGAATCTTCTAAAAATAGATCATTTTTCATATCTTCCTCCACAAAGTTGGCATGCAGTGTAGTAAGTGAAGATGAAGAATTATTTATACAGTTCACTTGGCTCTGCTGATCTGGAATGAAACATAAAGAACCTTGTCCAAAAGTACCTTACCTAAACAAACACATGAACAAAAAAAAACAACCCAACTTTATATAGTGTTTTAAACTTCTCATCAAGACATGGAGGTATCTTCAGAGCCAGTCTGTAGAATTATTCTTTTAATATTTCATGAGTGAATACAATTATGCAAATATTAAGTGGTAGGGTAAGTCATACATTGACATTAAAGAAAGCACTTACTAAGAGACAGAAGGATCAGTTCTTCTAGCACCAGGGAGGAAAAATATTGTAATGCAGTGCTTCCTAAATCCCCTTCCAGGGTATCTTTTAATTCTGTATGCTCTGAGTCTATTCTTCCTGTAAAGAGACAGAAGGCTGTGTAACAGCCTAATAAATACAAATTATTATTATTTTTTTTTTTCATCTGAGGCTAAAAATTTTGTTTTCAAACAACAGCTATTGTGCACTTTGAAATATATGTGTCTGGAAGAGGTAAGTTTGCATTCGTTGTAGGTAGCCATCCCGGGGATACAGTAGGACTTGCAAAATGAGATAGTTATCAACAATGTTATCAAATGTTATCAGAAGCTGAAGAATTAGGGAGCCAGCCTTATTCCCCCGTATGAGGCTCTTTCTGAAGACATCTGTACAGCAATGCCCACCACCCCTAGGCTTCTTTTGCTCTAATTTTTTTTAAGAAAGGATAATATTCCGATTCACACTCTTCCCCTTGCTAATAAGAAAGGAAGTATGCATGCTGGTTGAACTTTCCAGGATTTTGTCTCTGTTGGCTATAGAAACCTCAAAAGAATGATCAGCCATGGCTTACAAAGGATACACAGGGCTCTGCCTGAGCTCGCTGGTCTGCTAATGGGGATCTGATTGCAGATGTGAGGATACAAGCTCCCATTGTGCTCCCTCTGTGGTCAGTTCTCCATGATTAGTGGGAGCAGGTGGGTGCCCAAGTGAGCAGACAGCTTTGCTTTTGCATGTGCATTGTCTTTCTGTAATTGTAATCAGGAATGGGGTTCAGGACTCAATGTTATTTGTCTGAAAGGCCATGACGAGTGCAGGATATAGGAGGAAATGAGGAGGCAAGGGCTGGAGGTCTGGGTTCTGCTTTTGGTTTCCTGCTGCTGAGTTGGTAGGACTGGGGGCAAGTCAGTTACCCTTGGTGTGCCTCGCTGCTTCTGCCGGGGGCAGGAAGGATGCTTACCAGCTTGAACAGCCTCTGAGACCTATAGATGAGTGGTGGTCTATGAGTGGCTAAGTTTTACTGACACTGTTGTATGTAGTATAAATAAATTAATTTGTCCGTAACACTGCAAAAAAATAAAAAAAAAAATTAAAAATTGCTTTTTCTGGTTTCAGTTCTGACTATTTAACGACCTACTACATGCTGGGTAGTCAGTTTTGAAGCTTAGCAATTGCTATAGTACTTACAATTACACACATAGTGGGCTCTGTTTGCTGCAGAAAAGAGTAAAACTTTAAACTGCCTGACAAAACTTGCCAATGAAGTATATCTAACAGAGCAGGGGTGTAACTTTTGGCTTTATTTACTTGTAATAATGGTAAGGAACAGTGAATTTTGTTTGTTTACATACTGTTTACAATGGCACAGTTTTATTTTTAATATATTAAAACAATTGAGGTATTTATTGCATATACTATTTTAAAGATGTTTTATGTGTTTTCACCTTTGGAATATATTGTTACATTTCCTTGTACAGATAATTTGGGTGGCTTTGTTAATATAGTTAGTAATTTTTATGACTACTAAGTGACCAGTTTTCCGTGCCTTTTTATTGTTGAATGCATGATTACATATTTATTATTGTATGGAAGTCACTGAGATGTGTATTTTTGTATTCTGCTGGAAGCAATGGTTGATTTTATTGTACATGATAAGAGATGCCTTCTATAATGGGCACTCATATGAGATCTTCCTTCTCAAATAAACAGAATACATTCGATGTATGTAAGTCCTTGAATTCTTTCTGTGTCTGGAAATTGATGGAGATCCTTCAACACCATTACACTGAATTTTAGATGTTATCCACTCAAAATGTGGGCTGGTAGCAATGTCATCAAATCTAAAACAAAATTCCCCACTGAAATCAATACAATATTAAGTTCTTGGCACACTGTAAGCCTTTGTAATTTAAAAGAAAACTCTGTATGCTAAAGCTAAATAAAATTTGGATGAATGACTATCAAGCATCATTTCTATTCAGTCTGCCACACATTGCACTAAAATTGTTTCAAATTGCAGGCTTTGAATGCAGCTTTTGAAAATCCTTTATATGGCTACGTGCGAGTCCCCATGTAACTAGTAAGTAGGTCACCGTGCATGTAGGTGTTTACATTTGCAGGGATCTTCCGCTAGGTCTTGCCGGCATACAGCGTATTAACTGTAAAAATAGATTTACACTTGCATCCATAGTAACAACAGTCGTTAAAACATAATATACATTTCTCCAAGGTCAGTGGCAGTAAAACAAACACATTTTTTCCTGGTACTATATGCTGAACCTCTATAACTCCAACCCAGGTAAACAGTCACTGGAGCTGATTCCACGCCAAGAGCTGAAGACAGAGGGCAATTCTGCAGGCAACGATCATCTGCTGTGTTGTGGGTCAGTGAGCTACTAGGCTAGCACTTAACACAAGACGTGATGCGAAAGTAACTGCGATCAATGGCATATGCAGAAGACAATGTACAGTGTACGTGAGCTCCAGCCAGTTGATTAGGGAGCCAGGTTCCTGTTGTCCTGATGTGAACGTATACTTGAGAGGCATTTTTATGGATAACCTGTATTGTTTAAAGGTCAGAGATGGTGGTTTTAGCAACCAGTGAACTCCAGGTGCTTATAAATCTTGTACAAGCTTTGATCCTACTTTAATTTTGGGGGTGTTTTCTATGTATTCCATTTCTTTAATAAATCCTAAATGGTTGGTTGTAATAATCACAGCCATGGAATAGATAAGAGGCTCTATTAAGAAAAATAGCCAATGAGCTAAAGTAGGGGATGCTACTGGGGTGGCTCTGCAGTGTATGAGGAGACTGAACATGATGGTTCATTGACACCATGAATTCTCTAGAATTGCTTCTGGCAGTAACATGTAACACAAATAGGTTTCATGTAGTTCATCGTGTCTGTATGTTAGATTTAGGTGACTAAGAATTCAAAGGGTTTAAAAATGCGGTTTTGCTATAAATTTGGCATATGTACTTAAGGAATTTTTTAATTACATTAAAAAGATGATGGTTAAATGGATGAACTTCCTACCACAATGTATATTTTAGTCCTTGTGTTTAATCAATCTCTTAATGCCAATGACACTGAATACCTGATGATAAATTATTTGAAATTGGGCTTTTAACCCTCATGACAGAGTTTATTATAACCTGAAAACATGAGTTGATAGACATGTCAGAGTTTAAATCAATTTAAATCCTGAAGGCATGAAACCCCTAGAAGCAAATCTAATAGAATTCTTGCCTGGAAAATTTATCAAAAAGGGCCATATAGATGTCTTGTCTAAAATGTGAAATCAAATTTTAGAGATTCCCCTGATGCCAGGGAAGATCATGAGGCAGATCATCTTAATTGCCAGCATACAGCACAACCAGGTGATCAAGCCCAGTCAGCATGGGTTTATCAAAGGCAGGTCCTTCCTGACTAACCTGATCCCCTTCTGTGATAAGATGTCATGCTTAGTAGATGATGGAAAGGCTGTAGACATTGTTTACTTGGATTTTAGCAAAGGATTTGTTTGCCACAGCATTCACCTGGAGAACTGGCTGCGAATGGCTTGGATGCACTGTTCACTGAGTAAAAACTGGCTGGATGGCTGCGCCCAAAGAGTCGTGGTGAATGGAGTTAAATTCAGTTGGAGGCTGGTCACTAGTGGAGTCCCACCAGGGCTCACTATCTTTATCAATGATCAAGCGCACCCTCAGTAGGTTTGCAGGTGACACCGAGTTAAGTGTGAGTATTGATCTGCTTGATGGTAGTAGAGCTCTGCAGAGGGATCTGAATAGGTTAGATTGATGGGCTGCATCCACTTGCATGGCATTCAGCAAGGCTAAATGTCAGGTGCTGCACATGTGTCATAACTACCCAAAGCCGTGGCTTGGGCAAGTGCATCTGGGAAGCTGCTCCACAAAAAAGGACCTGGGACTGCTGGTCAACAACTAGTTTAACATGAGCCCTCAGTGTGCCCAGGTGGCCAAGAAGACCAGTGGTATCCTGGTCTGCATCAGAAATCGACTAGGGAAGTGATTGTCCCTTTGTGCGCAGCACTGATGAGACCACACCTCAAATACTGTGTTCGTATTTGAGCCCCTCACTACAAGAAGGATATCGAACTGTTCAGGTGTGTGCAGACAAGTGCAACAAAGCTGGTGAAGGGATCAGAAAATGAGACTTAAGAGGCGTGGCTGAGGGAACTGGGATTGTTTAGTCTGGAGGACAGGAGACTGATGGGAGACGTCATCACTCTCTACAACTACCTGAAAGAAGGTTGCAGGGAGGAAGGTGTTGGTCTCTTTTCCCAGGTAACATGTGATAGAACATGAGGAGATGGCCTCAAGTTGTGCCAGGGGAGATTTAGATTGGACATTATGAAATATTTCTCCACAGGAAGGGTGGTTAGGCAGTGGAACAACCAGAGTAGTGGTGTCACCACCCTTTGAGGTATTTAAGAGGCATGTGAACGTGGTGCTTAGGGACATGGTTTAGCAGTGGACTTCATAGTGTTAGGTGATGGTTGGCCTTGATGATCTTAAGAGTCTTTTCCAACCTAATGATTCTATGATTCTTTTTGAAGAGTTTTAGTGGGCATGGAGTGACAGACTACAGAAGGAAAAGTGAAACTGAGCAGCTATCATCAACAGCTCCCTCACTTCACGTTAGTCTGTTAGTCATGCACATAGATGCATGTGGTAAAAAGTGGAAAAGAAAGCTATTTTAAGATGATGCCATTCAAGCCACTGGTAGTCTGTATTTAGATTAAAATCTGCCCCCTGTCCTGGAAACAGAGGTAGGAGTATGGTGTTAGCCCAAACTGTCTAGTTGAGTCGTACCGTTTCCTTTGGCATTATACAATTTGGTTTTGAATTACATCATTGCAGTTCAGATCATATTTATAAGCACACATTTGGGAAATAAAATAATCCAGGGCAAGGGAACTCTGGCCATATTCACCCCACAGTCAACTAATGGCAGGAAAACTTCATGGATCAAGCTTGTATGCTAGGCATGAGAACATAAAGGAGACACAGGTATTTTCTGACCCAGCCAAGTGCACAACATATGAGTGAGAGCAGCAGCTGACCCAGTTCCTCTTCTTTTAGATAAGAACTAAGAGGATCTACACGGAAGTTCATCTGTCTTTTTATAGGGGGAGAGGCTCATAGATTTCACAGTGATGAAATGGGACATCCTGGAATGTCAGGATTTCTGCTGGGGTTTTACTTTCCATTTCCTTTTTTTCTGGCAGCAGCCCAGAGCTGTGCCTGCAGTTACCCCTCTGAACTCATACCTCCACTCTGACCTTTAGCTGCTATTTTCTTCTCCCATGTCTCAAAGCTTTCAGTTGTTCTCAGGTGCCTACTGTCATTTCCCAATTTACGTTTGCCAAATGCAATTTCCTTTCTTCAATTTCATTCCAAAAAAAAATCTTATCTGCTGCCTGTCTACTTCAGAGTGACAGCAGATATACATTCTCCTGGCAATCACGCTATCCTCTGAGTAACTCAGTTCATTAATTAAAAATCAAACATTTAACACCTCTGAATCCCTAACACACTGTCCCTGGTAATAATAACCTGCTAATATCATAACAAACAGCATGTTTTCTCATATGCTGAGAGAACTTTGCTGAGATTTTCTGGGATCGGCTTCTTTGAACCTCTGTGGGAGCATTCAGTTCTCTGGAGGTCAGGTCAGCAAGTTTTTGCACAGGAGCCTGCAAGCAGCTGGTGAATCTCACACAGTATCAGAGTATGTCCTTCTAATTTATGCTTGATGACTTACTTCCCTGATAACTGTTTGTCTAAAAGCATGTACTCAGTCAATCAATCTGAAACATTAGGTGAATATTTTCAGATGAATAAGAAGGAAGCAAGTTTGGAAGTGGTTGAAGATGTCATGGAGCTGCTTCCAAAACGCTGTTTGGACTAGGGAAAGCTGCAAATTTAAGCATAGTAGGTTCACAAGTGACTTCAGAATATCTGCAAAAAGAGCTCAGTAGGTAATGCTTTCTAGCCAGTCGTTCCCAGCTTTTACAATCACTGAGAGGAGCAGGTGGGTTTGGGGGTCAAACCCACATTTGATTCATAGTTCAGGTTTGGAGGATGATGCCATAAACCCAATAAAATATTTGCACATATGGAATACTTGACATAAGAGACAGAAGAGCACCAGACAGTACTGACTGCCTCATAAAATCCAGTTGAAATCTGAAATTATTTTTCCAGATGGCAGTTAGTCACATCTGTCACTTGTTTTCTTACTTACCAGAAGAAAATATTCAAATAAGTTTATATATGAATAAAAATCAAATACGTTTCTTAAAGAATTTATAAATGAATTAGCTAAACAAGGGGAGATAAGAGTAGACAACACTTGTGCCAGCCCTGCTCCACCACAGCACCTAGAAATGAACAGTGTAAGTTTTACAGCTTTAGTATAAAACCTTCCCCAAATTGCATTAGGAAGGTAAATAGTGCTTTACAAATCAAATGTCTTCAGTATTACATTTTCAGTATAATTGCATCTCCCTGTGGCCACTCAGCCATGAAAATGATTACTGTGTAATTCCCAGAATCTTAAGCCTATTTAAAATATTGATAGGAATATTAATTAAATCTTCCAAACACTATAGAAAGAGTAGCCTGGGCAAATGAACCTAAATTCCTGAAAAATACAATAACCATTAATTATGTCAGGATAATCAATCACCATTTATTTCTCAGTCAATAAGAACCATAGCTAATGGCTGACTAAGCTCAGTTAAGGTTTGATGAAGTACATTCTTTTAAATAGAAGTTAAATTAACCCATATTATTTGCCAGCAGGATAAACAATAGGTTGTCTTATTTACTCAACATAAATTCTGTCTCGAAATGTGTATATTTTGAAACAAGATTCATTGTCCTGTGTTTTCTTAGATGGCCAGTCAATCTAGAATATTATTAAAGATT